GGGGCCGCGAGGGAGCGGCTAAGGGGCCGCGAGGGGCCATGAGAGGGGCCGCGAGGGGCCGTGGGAGGGGCCGCGAGGGAGCGGCTAAGGGGCCGCGAGGGGCCGTGATAGAGGGGCCGCGAGGGGCCGTGAGTGGGGCCGCGAGGGAGCGGCTAAGGGGCCGTGAGGGGCCGTGAGAGGGGCCGCGAGGGAGCGGCTAAGGGGCCACTAAGGGCAGGGGACGCGGGGCGCAACTCGGGCAGGGGTGAAGTGCGCTCCGGGCAGGAAAAAAAAAAATCGAATTTTCGGTGGGCCCTAGGAAACGTTCCCACTAGGGAACCTGCTCTATACCATGTGGAAGAACAAGGAATGAATGCACTAGGAAAGAGGTGGGTACAAGTGGGAAAACCTAAAAGTGTTGTACCCTATATAGTCTACCCCACTACAGCCTACACAGACTATAGCATATAAGTCTGACACACCCCGCCCCATTCTCCCTCGTTCCATCACCCCGCCCCATTCCCCCGCTTTCCATCACCCCGCCCCATTCTCACGCTTTCCATCACCCCGCCCCATTCTCCCGCTTTCCATCACCCCGCCCCATTCTCCCGCTTTCCATCATCCAACCCAATTCTCCCGCTTTCCATCACCCCGCCCCATTCTCCCGCTTTCCATCACCCCGCCCCATTCTCCCTCCTTCCATCACCCCGCCCCATTCTCCCGCTTTCCATCACCCGCCCCATTCTCCCGCTTTCCATCACCCCGCCCCATTCTCCCGCTTTCCATCACCCCGCCCAATTCTCCCGCTTTCCATCACCCCGCCCCATTCTCCCGCTTTCCATCACCCCGCCCCATTCTCCAGCTTTCCATCACCCCGCCCCATTCTTCCGCTTTCCATCACCCCGCCCCATTCTTCCGCTTTCCATCACCCCGCCCCATTCTTCCACTTTCCATCACCCCGCCCCATTCTCCCGCTTTCCATCACCCCGCCCCATTCTCCCGCTTTCCATCACCCCGCCCCATTCTCCCGCTTTCCACACCCCGGCCCATTCTCCCGCTTTCCATCACCCTGCCTCATTCTCCCGCTTTCCATCACCTCGCCCCATTCTCCCTCCTTCCATCACCCCGCCCCAATCTCCCTCCTTCCATCACCCCGCCCCATTCTCCCTCCTTCCATCACCCCGCCCCATTCTCCCTCCTTCCATCACCCCGCCCAATTCTCCCGCTTTCCATCACCCCGCCCCATTCTCCCGCTTTCCATCACCCCGCCCCATTCTCCCGCTTTCCATCACACCGCCCCATTCTCCCTCCTTCCATCACCCCACCCCATTCTCCTGCTTTCCATCACCCCGCCCCATTCTCCCGCTTTCCATCACCCCGCACCATTCTCCCGCTTTCCATCACCCCGCCCAATTCTCCCGCTTTCCATCACCCCGCCCCATTCTCCCGCTTTCCATCACCCCGCCCCATTCTCCCGCTTTCCATCACCCCGCCCCATTCTCCCGCTTTCCATCACCTCCCGCTTTCCATCACCCCACCCCATTCTCCTGCTTTCCATCACCCGCCCCATTCTCCCGCTTTCCATCACCCCGCCCCATTCTCCCGCTTTCCATCACCCCGCCCCATTCTCCCGCTTTCCATCACCCCGCCCCATTCTCCCGCTTTCCATCACCCCGCCCCATTCTCTTGCTTTCCATCACACCGCACCATTCTCCCGCTTTCCATCACCCCGCCCCATTCTCCCGCTTTCCATCACCCCGCCCCATTCTCCCGCTTTCCATCACCTCGCCCCATTCTCCCGCTTTCCATTACCCCGCCCCATTCTCCCGCTTTCCATCACCCCGCCCCATTCTCCCTCCTTCCATCACCCCGCCCCATTCTCCCGCTTTCCATCACCCGCCCCATTCTCCCGCTTTCCATCACCCCGCCCCATTCTCCCGCTTTCCATCACCCCGCCCAATTCTCCCGCTTTCCATCACCCCGCCCCATTCTCCCGCTTTCCATCACCCCGCCCCATTCTCCCGCTTTCCATCACCCCGCCCCATTCTCCAGCTTTCCATCACCCCGCCCCATTCTTCCGCTTTCCATCACCCCGCCCCATTCTTCCGCTTTCCATCACCCCGCCCCATTCTTCCACTTTCCATCACCCCGCCCCATTCTCCCGCTTTCCATCACCCCGCCCCATTCTCCCGCTTTCCATCACCCCGCCCCATTCTCCCGCTTTCCACACCCCGGCCCATTCTCCCGCTTTCCATCACCCTGCCTCATTCTCCCGCTTTCCATCACCTCGCCCCATTCTCCCTCCTTCCATCACCCCGCCCCAATCTCCCTCCTTCCATCACCCCGCCCCATTCTCCCTCCTTCTATCACCCCGCCCCATTCTCCCTCCTTCCATCACCCCGCCCAATTCTCCCGCTTTCCATCACCCCGCCCAATTCTCCCGCTTTCCATCACCCCGCCCCATTCTCCCGCTTTCCATCACACCGCCCCATTCTCCCTCCTTCCATCACCCCACCCCATTCTCCTGCTTTCCATCACCCCGCCCCATTCTCCCGCTTTCCATCACCCCGCACCATTCTCCCGCTTTCCATCACCCCGCCCCATTCTCTTGCTTTCCATCACACCGCACCATTCTCCCGCTTTCCATCACCCCGCCCCATTCTCCCGCTTTCCATCACCCCGCCCCATTCTCCCGCTTTCCATCACCTCGCCCCATTCTCCCGCTTTCCATTACCCCGCCCCATTCTCCGGCTTTCCATCACCCCGCCCCATTCTCCCTCCTTCCATCACCCCGCCCCATTCTCCCGCTTTCCATCACCCGCCCCATTCTCCCGCTTTCCATCACCCCGCCCCATTCTCCCGCTTTCCATCACCCCGCCCAATTCTCCCGCTTTCCATCACCCCGCCCCATTCTCCCGCTTTCCATCACCCCGCCCCATTCTCCCGCTTTCCATCACCCCGCCCCATTCTCCAGCTTTCCATCACCCCGCCCCATTCTTCCGCTTTCCATCACCCCGCCCCATTCTTCCGCTTTCCATCACCCCGCCCCATTCTTCCACTTTCCATCACCCCGCCCCATTCTCCCGCTTTCCATCACCCCGCCCCATTCTCCCGCTTTCCATCACCCCCGCCCCATTCTCCCGCTTTCCACACCCCGGCCCATTCTCCCGCTTTCCATCACCCTGCCTCATTCTCCCGCTTTCCATCACCTCGCCCCATTCTCCCTCCTTCCATCACCCCGCCCCAATCTCCCTCCTTCCATCACCCCGCCCCATTCTCCCTCCTTCTATCACCCCGCCCCATTCTCCCTCCTTCCATCACCCCGCCCAATTCTCCCGCTTTCCATCACACCGCCCCATTCTCCCTCCTTCCATCACCCCGCCCCATTCTCCTGCTTTCCATCACCCCGCCCCATTCTCCCGCTTTCCATCACCCCGCACCATTCTCCCGCTTTCCATCACCCCGCCCCATTCTCCCGCTTTCCATCACCCCGCCCCATTCTCCCGCTTTCCATCACCCCGCCCCATTCTCCCGCTTTCCATCACCCCGCCCCATTCTCCCGCTTTCCATCACCTCCCGCTTTCCATCACCCCACCACATTCTCCTGCTTTCCATCACCCGCCCCATTCTCCCGCTTTCCATCACCCCGCCCCATTCTCCCGCTTTCCATCACCCCGCCCCATTCTCCCGCTTTCCATCACCCCGCCCCATTCTCCCGCTTTCCATCACCCCGCCCCATTCTCTTGCTTTCCATCACCCCGCACCATTCTCCCACTTTCCATCACCCCGCCCCATTCTCCCGCTTTCCATCACCCCGCCCCATTCTCCCGCTTTCCATCACCTCGCCCCATTCTCCCGCTTTCCATCACCCCGCCCCATTCTCCCGCTTTCCATCACCCCGCCCCATTCTCCCTCCTTCCATCACCCCGCCCCATTCTCCCTCCTTCCATCACCCCGCCCCATTCTCCCTTCTTCCATCACCCCACCCCATTCTCCCGCTTTCCATCACCCCGCCCCATTCTCCCGCTTTCCATCACCCCGCCCCATTCTCTTGCTTTCCATCACCCCGCACCATTCTCCCACTTTCCATCACCCCGCCCCATTCTCCCGCTTTCCATCACCCCGCCCCATTCTCCCGCTTTCCATCACCTCGCCCCATTCTCCCGCTTTCCATCACCCCGCCCCATTCTCCCGCTTTCCATCACCCCGCCCCATTCTCCCTCCTTCCATCACCCCGCCCCATTCTCCCTCCTTCCATCACCCCGCCCCATTCTCCCTTCTTCCATCACCCCACCCCATTCTCCCGCTTTCCATCACCCCGCCCCATTCTCCCGCTTTCCATCACCTCGCCCCATTCTCCCGCTTTCCATCACCCCGCCCCATTCTCCCGCTTTCCATCACCCAGCCCCATTTTCCCGCTTTCCATCACCCCGCCCCCGCTTTCCATCACCCCCCCCCCATTCTCCCGCTTTCCATCACCCCGCCCCATTGTCCCGCTTTCCATCACCCCGCCCCATTCTCCCGCTTTCCATCACCCCGCCCCATTCTCCCGCTTTCTATCATCCCTTAAATATGGGTCACCTGAATATGCAACAAAGTTCGGGTCATTTGATGCTTTTCCCTACGCCTACAAGGATCCATGCGGTTCCTTAGCATTTGTGGGCAGGCACGGCCGTCATCGCGGGCGCCGAACTTTTCTGTGCGCGCGAATCAAGCTGAATTTGCTCTGGTAGGTGTATTGAGGCGTGGCGGCGGAGGTGCTTGCGACCTTTTTTGGCGCCTCACAAGGCGGCGACGGCGGTGCCCTTCGCCGCGTCGGCCAAGGAGTGAGCCGCCGCCCATGCTGCCCGCCACGTGAGGTGCACAAGGGGGCATGGAGAACTGGGATGCGAGTTTCACATGGGAAGGGGGACCATTCCGGGTTTCCCAAGTTCCCATTTCCCTCCTGTCTGCCTCACTTCCCCTTCCTTCTCCCCCTCTCTCTCCTCTCCCCAGCGAGTGTGTTGCTGGCACTGAAGCAGGCTCTGGAGGACCATTCCGCGTTTTTCATCCCCCCTTTCCCCTCCCCTCTCCGTCCCCCCACCACTCTTCACCCTCCTCCCCCTCCCCCTCCCCCTCCCCCTTCGGCTACAACCCGTACTCTCTCGTTTCCCTGCGTGTGTTGTCCCTACCGCTCTCATCCGCTACCCTGCCCAACCAACAGCTCCTCGCTGCTCTCATACGCGCCGGCCGCCGCGGGTGCGTGCGCGGAAGTGGCGGCGCGGAGGTGGCGGAGATTGAGGCGGCGGTGGCGGTGCTGGCGGAGGCGATGCGCAGCAAGCAGATGAAGGCGAGGCGGTGTTCACTGCGCTGCGGCGGTTGGAAACGCGGAAGGTGGGCGCAGAGGAGAGCAGCGCTGGCGGCGCTAGGAGGGGTGGCATGTCTGGACACAAGTGGCAGCTTGTGTTCACCGCTGGTAACGGCGAAATGCGTGCGTGGGGCGATGGGTGCGTGCGCGAGGCAATGGGTGCGTGCGCGGGCGATGGTTGCGTGCGCGGGTGGTGGCGCCATGGTCTGCTACGTACCATGCTCACATTCCACATGCCATATGCCCTCTCTCCCACTTCTTAATGCCATGTGACCCCCCACTGTGTGGGCGGTCTTAACAGGCTGACCTATGCGAGCCGTGGCACACCAAGTGTGGTACCGGCTGGGAGTGTCACAGAGAAGTGTAATGAGGATGAGATAGCCTATTGCTCTGGGGCTGGATTGAGAGGTTTTGGAGGATAGTGCCGTGAGAGAGAGGCTACAGCGGGGTGCTGCAGATTTGGGTATAATGGACATGTTTGGTCGCTTGCGGGAATGGGTGTGCATTGAGGGTGCATGCTTGAACTATGGCATGTGAGATGATGGTTGGCAGCCAGAGGGGGAGTTTGTTATGTGATGCTATCATTTGCATTCACGTCTGTCTGCCTCCCATCATATGTTCGTTCGTTGCATGCGTGGTGTGAGCGTGCGCAAGAATTTGTGTTTTCTGTGGTTTGGATTTTCTGAGTGTGTGTGAATGTTATTTGGCTTGAGCAGATATCTGAAGTGACTCCACTGCTCAAGAGCTTTCGGACGAACCAAATATCGCTTCAATCGGAGTACGAACAAGAAAGTTACGAACGTTGGAAGTTCGTATGCTTTTGAAATTTGGTTGTGGTGACTATGGGAAGTTGTGGGGTTGACTCCATAAGGGGTAAAGACTTTTGGGGGTTGGGAAATTCGTCCCCATCACTGTAGATGCTGCCAAGTGGTTGGGAGAAACCAAATTGGGTTGGCAAGTGTGGCCAACTTGGGTGAGGTGGATTGTGGAGGTTGGGAAAGTGACAAAGGTCAAAGTTGGGGTGCCTATAGGGAAGGAAATTGTGTGGTATGGGGTTTCCTTGGTTGGGGACTCCTTGGGGACCTTCCCTCTCGTCCTCCTCATCCCCTCCTACCTGGTTTCTAGCTACCACAACTCTCTTGTGTAGCACTTGTGAGAATTGTGAGAACTTTGTGATAGAGTTAAGTTCTTATGGCAGCATACCCCCCTGTGCGCCAAAACTGATAACTCAAGAAATACTTCACCTTTTCGTACGATTCAACTTGGGAGTTGTAGCCACGGAATAGAGCTACAACATATCTGAAATTGGTAAAGTTTTGACGGTGCGTTTTTCGTCGACGGCGTTTTCTGTGAGCGCGACGATTCTGTCCAGAAATTGAGACTAACGATTTTGAGAAATTTGGACACATAATCTTCATAGACTCCGTCCTTAGTCTCTAACAAGTGGTATCAGAGCAGATTAAGGACTTTGTGGAGAGTCTACTAAAGTGTGAAGACCCTCCTAGACCCACCATGGCATGTGGGCGTGCCTAAGTGGAGTTCTAGAGGTTGGATGTGACTTCCGCTAAGGGAAAACTCTGCCGAAATTTCGTTGGCGCCGACACTTGTGAAGATTGTGTGGATCTACATTGTGACCAGCAAAGGGGGGAGCTGAAACCTCTGATTGGGAGCAGAGAAGATGAATCAAGGGAGTGGAGATGCAGCTGAGAAGAGGAGTGAACCGCCACCATCCAAGATCGAAGCGTTGGATGGCTCCAACTATGAGGAATGGAGCGGGCGGATGCGGAGCGCCTTCAAGCGCTACAAGCTGCTGAAAATTGCAATGAGAGAGGAGAAGATGCCGGGGGAAGGAGATGTCCGCGATCGGTGGATTGAGAAGAGCGCGGTGCTGTACGACCTGATTCTACAATCGGTCAACAACGACATGTTCCAGCACATCAAGGATTTGGTGGAGCTCGATGACTCGGGACCAAAGGCGTGGAAGCTATTACGCGACGTGGTTCAACCCAACACGCTGCCAATGGTGATTGTGTTGGAGAAGGAGCTGGCTGCCCTCTCCATGCGATCGGGAGACGATGTGAAACCAGTCCTTGACAAGGTCAAGGACACCTATGCGAGGATGGCAGCGGCGGGCAGCAAGGTGTCGGAGATGCAGCAGTGCACCAAGATCATCTCGGTGCTCGACAACTCGTGGGACAACCTTATCCCCACCCTCAACGCTCAGCAGGACAAGTGGACGCCTGAGTGGCTACGGCAGCAGATCCTGCAGGAGGACTTCCGCAGGCGCCACACGGGAGGTGGTGCTGCCAACAAAACTGCTGAGGGGTATGGAGCTGCAGGAGGCAGCAGAGGAAGAGGGGGAGGAAGAGGCCGAGGCCGTGGGAGAGGCTTTGGCAGAGGGAGAGGCCGAGGTGACTACAATGAGGGGCATGGGAGCTCTGGTGGCAGGGGGAGCACCCGAATGGAGGGTGCGTGCTGGTACTGCAAGAAGGCTGGACACCCATGGTTCAAGTGTTTCAGTCGGCCTGAGGGATGGGCGCCCCCAGGCATGAAGCCGCCAAGTGGTGAACGTGCACGAGGTGGCGCTGTGCAAGGTTCAGGTGCACAAGGTGATGGTGCACAAGGTAAAGCCGACCCTGGGATGTTCCTCATGGTTGAGGATGTGCAAGGGAGTGGGGGTGATGTGGGTTCAGTTGGGAAGGTTGTGATGCACCCACTCACTCACTAGGTGATCGATTCAGGTTGCACAAGTCATATGACCCCACGGGCAGATTTACTTGATGAGGTGAAACCCCCTGGGAAGATCAAGTTTGTGGCTGCCGCTTCAGGTGCTTTGCTCCCTGTGATTGGTGTTGGGAATGCCAAAGTAATGGGAGCCAATGGGGGGCTTGTGGGGCTGGGGAATGTGCTGTTGGTTGAAGGTTTATCCGCTAACCTCCTCTCTGTGTGCCGGCTGCAAAAAAGCAAGGCAAAGGTTACATTCGGCCCAACCAGCTGCCGTGCAAAGCTTGGGAAGTTGCTGCTGTGGGATTTGGAGGAGAAGAGCAGCTGCATCAAGGACCTGTGGCAGCTGCCCATCATCCCTTGGAATGGGAAACCACCAGCAAAGGCAACGGCAGCGGCAGTGGCTAAAGCAACTGCGGGAGGAGAGGAGACTGCACCAACTGATGGGGCCCTGGATGCAGTCAAGAAGGTGCAGCAGCCACAGCAGCCACATGGTGAGGTGCTTGCTGGTGTGGATGCAACAGCTGCATGGGCAAGGGCTTCATCTGGGAGTGGTGAGACTGATTGGGAGACGTGGCATGAGAGGCTGTGCCATGTGAACATTCCTATGCTGCAGAAGTTGGTAAAGGATGGGTGCTTGAAGGGGCTGGAGGTGAAGGGGGCAGCAAAGGAGATTGGGAGCTGCCCTACCTGCCTTGAGACCAAATTCACGAAGTTTCCCTTCAGCAGCAGCACGGGACCAGCCAAGGCACCACTCGCACTAGTGCACATGGATGTGGTGGGCCCCACGAGGGCTCTTTCTCTCTCGGGCAGCCGCTACTTCTTGACGATTGTGGACGACCACACGCGTGCGGTGTGGGTGTACCCTCTCAAGACTAAGGGGGAGGTGGCAGCGGCTGTTCTTAAGGAGTGGATGCCGAGAGCACAAAGGGAGAGCGGACACAAGGTGAAGGTGATCCGCACTGACAACTGAGGAGAGTTCATCGGCACTGATTTTGAGAAGGAGCTGAAGCGGAAGGGGATCCAGAATCAGCTCACAGTGCCTTACAACCCTCAGCAGAATGGCGTGGCTGAGCGGTTCAACCGGACCCTGCAGGAAGGTGCTCGCACTCTCCTTGGGCGTGCAGGGCTGCCGGATCCGTTTTGGGTGACAGCACTGCGGCAGGTTGTTGTTGTGAAGAACCGGGTGCTGGCAACTGTGGGGGACAAGCAATGGGTCCCCTACACCAAGTGGTATGGGAGTGCACCTGCAGTCAACATGCTGAGAACTTATGGCTGCATGGTGGTGTTTCATGTACCGAAGGAGAAGAGGGGAAAGTTGGAAGCTTCTGGGAGATGGGGTGTGCACTTGGGACTTGCCAAGGATCACAAGGGCTGGTTGATTTGGGACTTGACCAGCCAGCAGCTGACTATGTCAAGGGATGTCAAGTTCCTTGAGTCTTTGTACTACATGGAGTGGAAGCAGCAGCAGCAGAAGCTTCCTACAACACCACTGATCATTGAGGCCGATGAGGTGCAGCGGCCTTCGAGACAGGTGCAGGTCACTGTCTCAGAGGAGATCTCTGGGGTGACTGAGGATGGGGGAGAACCTGAGGTGGAGGAGCAGCAGCAGCAGCAGCAGCAGCAGCAGCAGCAGCAGCAGCAGCAGCCGCAGCAGCAGGAGGAGCAAGGTGCTCCACAAGGTGCCGGACGTACGACTGACCGTCCTAGGAGGGATGTGCGCCCTCCTAACAGGCTGACCTATGCGAGCCGTGGCACACCAAGTATGGTACCGGCTGGGAGTGTCACAGAGAAGTGTAATGAGGATGAGATAGTCTATTGCTCTGGGGCTGGATTGAGAGGTTTTGGAGGATACTGCCGTGAGAGAGAGGCTACAGCGGGGTGCTGCAGATTTGGGTATAATGGACATGTTTGGTCGCTTGCGGGAATGAGTGTGCATTGAGGGTGCATGCTTGAACTATGGCATGTGAGATGATGGTTGGCAGCCAGAGAGGGAGTTTGTTATGTGATGCTATCATTTGCATTCACGTCTGTCTGCCTCCCATCATATGTTCGTTCGTTGCATGCGTGGTGTGAGCGTGCGCAAGAATTTGTGTTTTCTGTGGTTTGGATTTTCTGAGTGTGTGTGAATGTTATTTGGCTTGAGCAGATATCTGAAGTGACTCCACTGCTCAAGAGCTTTCGGACGAACCAAGTATCGCTTCAATCGGAGTACGAACAAGAAAGTTACGAACGTTGGAAGTTCGTATGCTTTTGAAATTTGGTTGTGGTGACTATGGGAAGTTGTGGGGTTGACTCCATAAGGGGTAAAGACTTTTGGGGGTTGGGAAATTCGTCCCCATCACTGTAGATGCTGCCAAGTGGTTGGGAGAAACCAAATTGGGTTGGCAAGTGTGGCCAACTTGGGTGAGGTGGATTGTGGAGGTTGGGAAAGTGACAAAGGTCAAAGTTGGGGTGCCTATAGGGAAGGAAATTGTGTGGTATGGGGTTTCCTTGGTTGGGGACTCCTTGGGGACCTTCCCCCTCGTCCTTCTCATCCCCTCCTACCTGGTTTCTAGCTACCACAACTCTCTTGTGTAGCACTTGTGAGAATTGTGAGAACTTTGTGATAGAGTTAAGTTCTTATGGCAGCATACCCCCCTGTGCGCCAAAACTGATAACTCAAGAAATACTTCACCTTTTCGTACGATTCAACTTGGGAGTTGTAGCCACGGACTAGAGATACAGCATATCTGAAATTGGTGAAGTTTTGACAGTGCGTTTTTCGTCGACGGCGTTTTCTGTGAGCGCGACGATTCTGTCCAGAAATTGAGACCAACGATTTTGAGAAATTTGGACACATAATCTTCATAGACTCCGTCCTTAGTCTCTAACACCCTCGCCAGCCTGCGCCGCCCTGATCCGTCCGCGCGACCCCTTCCCCCTCCCCCGTATGCGGCATGCGGGGCGCGCGCTGGTGGAGGGGCGGAGATCGGCGCGGGGCTGTGCGTGCTGGTGGGGGTGATTGAGGGGGACGGCGAGCACGACTGCCACTACATGTGAGGTCGGTGTGGGCGGTGAAGGGAAAGGGGCGATGGAGGGAAGGGTGCAATGGTTTGTGGGCCGTGAGGCGGTAATGGAAGGCGTTTGTTTTGCAGGTGGCAGTTATGGGTTGAGATTCTCATGCGGGCATGCAAGTGCATGTGTGGGCGTGCATATGGGGTCGGTGCCTGTGCAACTGATAGCCTCTCCAACTCGCCCCCATCACCCCAACCATGCCGCACTTATGCACTTATGCTCCTGTGCTCTCACACACTCACGCGCGCACGCATGTGGCGGGCGCGCAGGTGCCGCGAGATCCTAGACCTGCGCGTGTGGCCCAATGAGAAGACCCGGAAGGCGTGGGACGAGAGGGTGAGTCAGGGGCGAACGGGTGAGAGGCGTAGGAGCAAGGGGTGTGAAATTGAGTGGATTGTGATTGTAAAGGGTGATTGGTGTGGTAGCATATGTGGGTGAATGGTGCATCTCACGCTCCCTTCTCCGCTGTCTTCATCCGTGTGACTCAGCCATGTTTCAGCACCACTCGCACCACTTGCACCCAGCCATTTAGGGCGTATTCCTGGCTTCGGGACTTCCCGTCTTTGGGATTTCCGAACTTGTGGGACCACTGAAAATATTTACTGTTCCTTTGGTCAACGACCTCATTTGCCCCGCAAGAAGAAGGTCGGATGTCCCAAAGTGCGGATGTCCCAAAGCCAGGAATACGCCCTTACATGTATGCCTACCTTGTGTCTGTCTGACTCTCTGCCCGTGCAGGTGTCGCAACGAGGCTACGAGGTGCTGCTAGGTGCGTACCCTCCACCTGCCACCCTCCCACCCACCCCACCCCCCTTGCACGTGCGCCGCTTACCCCTCTTTGTTTCTGCCCGTGTGTGTGGTGTGGACCATTCCCCAGCTTCGCAAATCAACGCGGGTCTCCCTTCCGTGCGTCCCCTGCCACGCCCTGCTCTCCTCCGCCCACTCGCTAGCCGCCGCATCCCCCTCCGCACCGACTGCTGCGCCACTCCGCCAAGCGCAGCGCGCTCTCCCCCGCGGGCGGAGCGTGTGGCGCGCAGCTGCTGCACGGGGGGGCAGGCGAGGCGGATCCAGGGGCATCGACGCTGGTAACCGCTGCTTGGGATGGCGCAGTGAGGGCGGGCAGTGGGAGGGTGGGTGCGCGCGGGTGAGTAGCAATGGTGCAAAGAGGCGGGTGATTAGCAGTGGTGCAGTGAGGGTGGGTGAGTGCGGTACCGTTCCCCTTCCTCCCCTCCCCTCCGCCCTTCTTCCCTCCCCACAAGCCAGACTTCATTCTCCGCACCCTTCCCCTCTCGCACCCTTCCCCTCTCGCACCCTTCCCCTCTCGCACCCTTCCCCTCTCGCACCCTTCCCCTCTCGCACCCTTCCCCTCTCGCACCCTTCCCCTCTCGCACCCTTCCCCTCTCGCACCCGTCCCCTCTCGCACCCTTCCCCTCTCGCACCCTTCCCCTCTCGCACCCTTCCCCTCTCGCACCCTTCCCCTCTCGCACCCTTCCCCGCTCTCACCCCTTCTCTTTTCCCCACGCATTTCACCCTCTTTCACGCTTCCTCTCTTTCACCCTTTCCCGCCTTCCCCCCCCTTCAGTGTCCGCCACACGTTCGGGTCTCTTCCGCTCACCTGTCTCAGGGGGAGGGGAGAGCGCCATCAGCGCCCACGGGCTGCCGTCCCAGCGCTGTGGTAGCAAGCGGTGCGCAGCCTGGTGGAGCGGGCAGCGCAGCTCTGCTCCATCATGCCAATGCTGCCCCCTCCAATTCCCCCCCTCCCTTTCCCCCCTTCTCCCCGCACCCCCTACCTTCCCCTCTCCTCACCGGCCCCGGCAGTGGCGGTGCTTAGTTTGGTGGAGCAGGCGCAGTACGCGCAGCGCAGCTCTGCTCCATCGTGCCCCGCTCGCACCACCGCCGCAAGGGTACCCCTTGGGGCCGCTCGTTGGCTTCACCACCGACGCTGATGGCCGTGAGTGGGGTGGAGAGACTGTGGGAGTGGGGGGAACGGGTGTGGGAGGGCGAAGGGGACTGTGAGTGAAGGGGTGGCCGCAATGGGTACCCCTTTGGGTCCCTGACTTTACCACAGATGCTGACGGCCATGAGTGGGTGGTTGGTAGGAGGAGAGGATGAAAGATGGGGGGGTGGGGGGCGATGGGGGGGTAGTGGGTGTAAGGGAATCAGGAGGAAGAAGTGGGGAAGAGGAGGGGTGGGTGAGCGAGTGAGCGGGTGGGCTGGACGGGGGATGGGATTGAGTGGGCAGGAGGAAGGAGAGGTAGGTTGAGCCATGACGTCATGGCATACACACTCACTGTCGGTCACCACACTCACTGTCTGTCACCACACTCACTGTCTGTCACCACAATCACTGTCGGTCACCACACTCACTGTCTCTCACCACACTCACTGTCTGTCACCACACTCACTGTCTCTCACCACACTCACTGTCTGTCACCACACTCACTGTCTCTCACCACACTTACTGTCTGTCACCACACTCACTGTCTCTCACCACACTCACTGTCTGTCACCACACTCACTGTCTCTCACCACACTCACTGTCTGTCACCACACTCACTGTCTCTCACCACACTCACTGTCTCTCACCACACTCACTGTCTGTCACCACACTCACTGGTCCCTATGTGACCGGTCGGTCCCCATGCGACCGATCCCCATGCGAACCGTCTCAAGTCACCAATCTCTTCTCTTCACTCTCTCCCCGCGTCCCCCTTTCCTCACCTCGTCTCTCTTCCCCTCTCCTCTCCCCTCTTCACCCCCTCCCATTTTTCTTCAGGAACTGCTTGCATTCAGGGTGAGTTTGCTACCCGGGGGAAATGGAGTATGGGAACGGGAGGGGATGCTTATATGTAAACATACCCTGTGTGATTCTCAGCCGCAGTAGATCTGCCCCCTTCATCCCGTTTCCTGTCTCGCATGTGTTGGTGCAACCCTATGGTTTGCACTCGGCTTGTTGTCCGTGTGCGTGCATGTGTGTGTGTATGGAATGGTATGAGGGCATGGGATAATATATATTTCATGCTTATAATTGTGTGTGAATGTTGAGTCATGATGTCGAGTGTGTGTGTCGAGTCAATAGCGAGTTATCGCTAGACGCGTGTTACGCGGTCGTTTGTGTCTCGCGCGCGGTTTCTATTTTGTCCTGTGTCGAACGTTCGGTGTGTCGCAGGTGTGTGCAGCAGACCCATCAAGAACTCAAGGATGAGTTTGTGATGAAGAGCCCGAGCCTTGGTGTCAAGCCTCAAGTGATTTCGAAGCTTGCCAAAAAGGGTACACCTCAAGATATTGAAGATAGTTACATTACTTTGTGTAGTGTAACATTTCACTTGGTGTAGGCCCTAGTGAAGGGTAGTTTCGAGACCCTTCGTGGTTGGGGACAGTGTGGCACTGTTCCACATCACTGTACCTCGGCTCTTGGGGTTTGTAGGAGCTGGGAGTCATTCCCAACTCGTAACTCTTCCTAACTCTTCCTATCTTGTGTTCTAAGACTATGTTGCTGCCATAGTGCCGTTCGTTCAAACCGACGCTGTGTCGTCAGTTCTTAATGAAAGCGTGCGATTTAAATTACCTATTGTAGGCGACGTTAGTGCGCTCCAGATCCAAGTTGAATGAAGTCATTTGGAGTTGTGAGCAGATCGCTATGAACGTTTGAAGCCGCTGTGCAGAAATCCGACTGTGCACTCTATCTTTCGTTTTAGGCACATTGGAGCCTACTGTGACTATAACAAGTGGTATCAGAGCCCCTTGGAGCAGTTTCGACAATTGCTGGACCTGAGGAAAGGGGTGGCAGAGGTGCTGGTGGCAGTGGAGAAGCCCAAGCTCAAGGCCAACCCCGTGACTCAGCCATGGCGCCCGTGCAACCAAGTGTTGGCCCATCTAGGGACGAGCCTAGAGTGTTTGGCCTTGACAAGTCCAACGGCGACAACTTTGCTGAATGGTCCTTCAGAATGGAGAATGTGTTCGACCACTATGACCTGCTGGAGGTGATGGAAGGAACGGAGAAGCGCCCCGAGAACGACCCGGAGAAGAGCCCGTGGGTGCGGAAGAGCGCACAAGGCTACCTCCTACTAGGGCAAGCGTTGGGGAGCAGCCAGATCCGTCACATCAAGCCTTTCCAGCGTGAACCAGAGAAGGGACCAAAGGCATGGGCTGCTCTCAAGGGTGTACACGCTCCTGCAACAGCGGCGGTAGCTGTGGTGTTGGAACGGCAAATGGCGACACTACGAATTGAAGAGCATGAAGCGGTTGAAGAAGGGGTGCAGAAATTCTTCGACTTGTTGACGCGGCTTGAGGGAGCTGATTTGAACTATAGTGAGCTCCAAAAAAAGACCAAGTTGCTGGCCCTACTCCCTGAGTCATGGTCCTCGCTCATCATCAACCTTAATCGCGACTTGCCCCGCCTCTCGCTTGAAGACGTGAAGCGAGCTATCCTTCAAGAGGATTTCCGCCGCCGTGAGTTGGCGAGTGCGGATGGCGCTGGGGCAGCGAGCATCGGCCGTGGATATGGTAGAGGAAGAGGTAGAGGACGAGGGGGAGGAAGGTTTGGTGGCAGCAACTTCGGCGGAGGCCGCGGGAGTGGCGGTTACGGCAGCGACGACAAGAGCTACGGACGCGGTCGCGGCCTATTCGACGGCGAGTGTCACTATTGCCACAAGAGCGGACACATGTGGCGCGACTGCTACAAACTCCCTGATGGTTGGACCCCTGCTCAAGGCCAAGAGGGTAGAGGAGCAGGAGGAGGGAGAGGACGAGGCCGTGGAGGCCGTGGCGGTCGCGGTGGCGGAGCTGCAAACATGAAGAGCGGAGACAACGACAAGGACCCGAGCGACGATCGATACCCGGGTCTATTCTACTTCGTGTCGACGCAAGTACCGGCTGGTCCAGAGAAGGATGAAGGCCTTGAGGAGCCAGCAGCTGTGGGGAAGGTGACCCTACACCCCCTGGACTATTGGGTGATTGATAGTGGCGCTACCTATAGCATGACACCTCGCCCGGACTTGCTCACCGAACTCGAGCCGTCACCGGTGAAGCATGTCACATCGGCTTTGGGGCAGCGAGCAGAGGTGAAAGGCATGGGGAAGGCCATGTTCAAGGGTGCTGATGGGAAGATGGTGGGCCTCAAGAACGTGCTTTGGGTGCCCAGCCTTGCTGCGAACCTGATTTCCGTGCGGCGGTTGGCAAAGGCCGGCATGGACACGAACTCGAAGGGAGCCAAGACCTACACCGCAAGGCTTGGCGATCGAATTCTTTGGGACCTTCATGAGGACAGGGATGTCTACAACGAGATGTGGCAGATCCCAGTGGTCCCTATGCCTAAGGAGAGGCAAGTGGCAGCAAGCATCAGCACCAAGGATGGAGCGGTCGGTAGCGACGATGGCGCGAACGGTCGCGCTAAGGAGAATGAGCTCAAGAAGAGCAAACCTGGAGGGACCAGCAAGTTCAGTGAACCTAAGGAGAGTGGTGCAGCAACCAAGGAGCAGCAAAAGGGTGAGGAGAACCCCGAGGCAGCAGCGGAGGAGGACTACGGAGAGAGTATGTGGGGCGCTATTGCGAGCGCGGCATTCTCCAATCCAACTTCGGGTACGGGGGAGTGTGATTGGCTCACCTTGCATCGGCGCATGGGGCATGTGGCCCTGCCCATCTTGCAGCAGCTAGTGAAGAATGAGATGGTTGCTGGCATACGTGTGAAGGGGGAGCCCGATGAGGTGCTTGGCTGCCCGACGTGCATTCAAGCCAAGTTCACCCGGTTTCCGTTCCCTAGTTCGGAGGCAACGGCAAAGGCACCACTTGATGAGGTGGTGATGGACGTGGTGGGCCCCCTGAAGCTTGGAGCTGCTGGAGCTGAGTATTTTCTCACCATTGTTGACGTCTACACCCGCATGACTTGGGTGTATGTGCTGGCCAAGAAGAGCGACGTGGCTGAAACGTTGAAGACGGATTGATTCCCGATGGTGGAGCGGCAACAAGACCGTCTAGTCAAGTCAATCCGCACCGATCGAGGGGGAGAGTTCCTGAGCAAGGAGTTTGGGTTGTGGCTGAAGAAGAATGGTATTCGGCACTCCCTCACCATGCCATACTCCCCTGCAATGAACGGCATCGCCGAGCGAGCGAACCGCACAATCACGGAGGCGGCACGCGGGTTGCTCATTGAAGCCGGGCTACCCGACTATTTCTGGCCTGATGCGGTGCGAAGCGCGTGTGTGGCCAAGAACAGAGTTTTGACTCATGTGAGAGCAGACAAATGGGTGCCCTATGTGGAGTGGCTAGGAAGGAAGCCAAAGGTGGATATGCTTCGGGTGTTCGGGTGCATGTGCATGGCGCTCGTGCCTAAGCATCTTCGGCACAACAAGCTTGGTGCCAAGGCGGTGTGGGCCGTGCACTTGGGCATGGCTCAAAACAGCAAGGGATGGCTTCTTTGGGACCCATTCACCAAGAAGTTCTTGGTGAGCAGGGACTGCAAGTTCATGGAGAACTTCATGTACAAGGATTGGAAGGCGGAGAATGAGGCGAAGATAGGCGTGCGGTTTGGGGAGGTGAAGAGTTCCGGTTTGGAGCATGTGGAGCTGCCTTTGGAGCTGAGCAGCGGCAGCACAACCACAAGGCAATCCTCCCTTGTGAATGGGGGAGAGGAGGACAATGATGCAGAGGAAGAAGAGGAGGAGGTGCAGCAAGTGAGCGAGCGTGCACCGTCACTCCCTTCCCGTACTACGAGTGCTCCACGGATTCGAGCCACACCGCAGCAACGCCAAGGCCTTCAAGTCCCTGCAGCTGAGGAGGAAGGAAGGGGGAAGAGGAGAGTTCAACCCCCTAATAGGCTGACCTATGATGCGCCGGGAAAGCAGGGCAAGACAGCCCTGGCCGGAGCGGCAATGATGGTCGGAGACGACGAGGAGAGTGACTACGAGGAGTGTGCCTTCGCGTTCTTCTCTCCGGTGGAGATGCCGGGAGAACCAGCAACTCTCAAGGAGGCTTTGGAGAGTAGTGATGCTGAGGAGTGGAAGAAGGCCATGGAGAGTGAGCTGAAGAGCATCGAGGAGAATGACACGTTTGAATTGGTGGAGCTACCGGAGGGGCGTACGGTGATAACGTCCAAGTGGCTCTTCAAAATCAAGTCGGATGCCGACGGCAAGATCGAGCGCTACAAGTCTAGGCTTGTAGCCAAGGGGTACCAGCAGAAGGAGAAGGTGGACTTCAAGGAGCTGTTTGCCCCTGTGGTGAAGCCGGCGACGCTGAGAACCCTATTCGCGGGAGCCGCCATCAAAGGATGGGTAGTAAAGCAAATGGACATCGTAACGGCATTCCTTAACGGCATCCTTGAGGAGGAGATTTTTATGGCGCAGCCAGAGGGGTTTGATGATGGTAGTGGCAGAGTGTGGAAGCTGAAGAAGGCCCTCTATGGGCTGAAGCAGGCCCCTAGGCAATGGTACATGAAGCTGCGCGAAGTGTTGGAGGGGATCGGCTTCACTCCCTCAATGGTCGATCACTCCTTGTTCATGCTTGGCGAGGGGGAGCAGAGGAGCTTCATGGTGGTGTACGTGGACGACATCCTGATCTTCTCACCCTCTCCTGACCTTGTGAAGGAAGTAATGCTGAAGCTGCAAGACAAGTTCAAGTGCAAGTCCCTTGGTGACGTGAACTTCTACCTTGGGCTCCACATCGAACGAGACGTGGAGAAGCGGAGCATACGAGTGCACCAACGGAAGTACCTGGAGGCGTTGGCTGCCAACTTCGGCCAGAGTGAAGGTCATGTCGCTACTCCCTTTCCCTCTGGGTTCAAGTGTGTGAAGGGGCCAGAGGAGGAGAGCGTTGGAGAAGAGGAGAGGCGCCGATTTCACTCGTTGGTGGGCAGCCTCATGTATGCGGCGGTAAACACCCGACCGGACGTCGCGTTTGCTACCGGGCAGCTGGCTAGGGTTGTGCAATGCCCTAATGAGGAGCAGGTAGCAGCTGGAATGAGGGTGGCCAAGTATCTTGGCCAAACACCGACCGTTGGGCTGCAATACTCGCCGGCGGCACAAAGGCGCCAAAAGGGCGCGGATGGTGTTGAACCCGGGCGTTTGTTCCTCACCACCTACTCGGATGCTTCATATGCATCAGAACCAGAGGACATGACAAGTGTGGGAGGCTTCATATGCTGTGTTGGTGGAGGCCCAACTGCTTGGGAGAGCAAGAAGCAGGTTGACCAATTGAGCTCGGTGGAGTCCGAGTACATGGCACTCTTCCGTGCCGTACGGGAGATTGTGTGGCAGCGGCGTTTGTTGGCTGAATTGGGGGAGGAGCAGCAAGGACCTACCCCACTCTATTGTGACAGCCAGGGTGCCATTGCTCTTGCTAAGAACCCTGTGTTGCATGGACTCACGAAGCACATGAGGGTGAAGTGGCATTGGACGAGGAGCATGGTAACCGCGGGTGAAGTTGAGTTGCGCTACGTGAAGACCACGGGGCAGCCGGCTGACATGATGACCAAGAGGCTGGTGGAGCAGCAGCATTGGAAGTGTTGCAAGCTGGCTGGGATGGCTCTGAACTGAGAGAGCAACATATCCTAAGGCCAACAATCCGAGGGGGAGTTTGTTGGTGCAACCCTATGGTTTGCACTCGGCTTGTTGTCCGTGTGCGTGCATGTGTGTGTGTATGGAATGGTATGAGGGCATGGGATAATATATATTTCATGCTTATAATTGTGTGTGAATGTTGAGTCATGATGTCGAGTGTGTGTGTCGAGTCAATAGCGAGTTATCGCTAGACGCGTGTTACGCGGTCGTTTGTGTCTCGCGCGCGGTTTCTATTTTGTCCTGTGTCGAACGTTCGGTGTGTCGCAGGTGTGTGCAGCAGACCCATCAAGAACTCAAGGATGAGTTTGTGATGAAGAGCCCGAGCCTTGGTGTCAAGCCTCAAGTGATTTCGAAGCTTGCCAAAAAGGGTACACCTCAAGATATTGAAGATAGTTACATTACTTTGTGTAGTGTAACATTTCACTTGGTGTAGGCCCTAGTGAAGGGTAGTTTCGAGACCCTTCGTGGTTGGGGACAGTGTGGCACTGTTCCACATCACTGTACCTCGGCTCTTGGGGTTTGTAGGAGCTGGGAGTCATTCCCAACTCGTAACTCTTCCTAACTCTTCCTATCTTGTGTTCTAAGACTATGTTGCTGCCATAGTGCCGTTCGTTCAAACCGACGCTGTGTCGTCAGTTCTTAATGAAAGCGTGCGATTTAAATTACCTATTGTAGGCGACGTTAGTGCGCTCCAGATCCAAGTTGAATGAAGTCATTTGGAGTTGTGAGCAGATCGCTATGAACGTTTGAATCCGCTGTGCAGAAATCCGACTGTGCACTCTATCTTTCGTTTTAGGCACATTGGAGCCTACTGTGACTATAACAGCATGCGCACCACCACTAGCCCGTCCCCTCCCCCAGTACCTCCCTTCCCTCCTCGCTTCTCTCACATCTGACGCTTATACCTCTCTCCGTGTTTCGTGTCCCCCGCAGCTGCATTCAGGTGTTCACGCGACACAACTCCGCTAAGGCGCTCGGCAGCTTCGCCACTGGTCAGCCCGCCTCTCCTCCTCGCCGCCCTGCCTCTTCTCTTCGCACCTTGCCTCTCCTCCTCACTCCCCTGCCTCTCTCGCTCCCTTGCCTTGCCTCTTCATTCACTGCTGCACCCAGGCACGCCTCCTTCCCCCACTCTACCCATCTCCTTCCTCTAATTATATGCGATTACTCTCAAGCCTGATTCCCCACTCTGCCCATGCCCTCACTCCCGCCCCTCCCCCAGCCGCCCTGCCACTGCCACATGACCTGGTGACCAACATCTCCTCTGCCGCCTCTGCTGATGCCTTCCTCGCCACTCTCAACAAGGTTCGCCCCTCCCATCGCCTCTTTTCACACACATATCTAACCCTCACGCCTGCGCGCCTGCAACCAAGTCGCCTGTGCATCTAATCCCCTTATCTCCGATCCCCCATGCCCCCCTTGCCCGCCATTCCACCCCTGCCTGCCTGGTGGTTCTCTTCTCCACCATTCATGCCGTCACGCTGCTCTTTAAGGCCCTCTAGCTGCACTTCAGGTGCCCCTCTCACATTACAGCAAACCTCTGCAGCTCTGCTCCCCCTCTGCCACCCTCTCGTCTTGTAGTGTCACTGTCCCTTCACACCTCCCTTCCCACCTCCCTGCACACCTTCCGCTACACTCGCTTTGTACTATCACTTGCCTTCGCCAAAAAATTTCCTCCCTTGCCATTCTGTGCATGGCAATGCATGGCGCGTTGCATGGTTATGCCGTGTGGCGGCATGGCATGTCCTGGCTCACGGGGCATGGCATGGGGTGGCATGGCACAGGGGGCATGGCATGGCATGTCCTGGCTCACGGGGCATGGCATGGGGTGGCATGGCTGGTGTTTGCGCAGGCCAAGTCGACTGACGAGGCTCTGGCCACTTCCTTTGGCGCCACCTCCTTTGGCACCACCTCCTTTGGCGCCACCTCCTTTGGCGCCACCTCCTTTGGCGCCACCTCCTTTGGCGCCACCTCCTTTGGCGCCACCTCCTTTGGCGCCACCTCCTTTGGCGCCACCTCCTTTGGCGCCACCTCCTTTGGCGCCACCTCCTTTGGCGCCACCTCCTTTGGCTCCACCTCCTTTGGCTCCACCTCCTTTGGCGCCACCTCCTTTGGCGCCACCTCCTTTGGCTCCACCTCCTTTGGCTCCACCTCCTTTGGCTCCACCTCCTTTGGCGCCACCTCCTTTGGCGCCACCTCCTTTGGCTCCACCTCCTTTGGCGCCACCTCCTTTGGCTCCACCTCCTTTGGCTCCACCTCCTTTGGCTCCACCTCCTTTGGCGCCACCTCCTTTGGCGCCACCTCCTTTGGCTCCACCTCCTTTGGCTCCACCTCCTTTGGCGCCACCTCCTTTGGCGCCACCTCCTTTGGCTCCACCTCCTTTGGCGCCACCTCCTTTGGCTCCACCTCCTTTGGCTCCACCTCCTTTGGCTCCACTTCCTTTGGCGCCACCTCCTTCCCCGCACTCTTCCTGCACAAGGTGCTCTCACTCCCTTCTTAACCCCCCTTACGCCTCCCTGCTCACTCCACCACTCCACACGCTGTCTCTCCCTCCCCCACATGCTCCCTTCTTCCTCTTCCTGCCCATTAGACCCTTGTGCCTCTCTTGCAGGGGTTCCTCCTTTACTCTGACTCTATTTCTAACCCCACAACCCTCGCCTGCCCTCCCCGCCCCGTCCATGCCCCTCAGCCCCTCGTCCCACATGACTCTCACTGACGGCTCCACCTCGTCCCTCCTGTTTCTCCTGCCGCTTCTCGCCGCTCGTCCTTCTCTCCCCACCAGGTGGACGGCACCAGGCAGCTCTACGAAGGCCCACTCAAGCCCGAGCCAGTCGCGGCCTTCCTCAAGCAGTTTGCCGCCCCGGCAGAGCCCGCCGCTGACTCAGCGACAGCTGGCGAGGCGGAGGCGGGCGGGGCAGGGGCGGCGGGGGAGGAGGGGCAATTGCGGTGGGTGCGGCAGATGAGGGGCGTGAATTTCAGCAAGCCAGGTGCTGCAGCGCGAGGAAATGTGGATGGTGGCTCTCGCCTCCCCGTCTGGTGAGATGTGCATGTGCTTCCTGGCTCTCTCACTTGCTCCGTTTCGTGTCTCCGTCACTCCCTCACATCCCTGGCTCGCGTCCTCCCATCATGCTCATTGTTGCCCCTTGTTGAGTGCGGTGTAGAGGAGTGCAGGGAGGTGAAGGAGAAGTGCGAGAAGACAGCAGAGGAGCTTGTGGGCATGGTGAGGTGGGGGCTTAAACCAAGCACTATCCCATGGTGTGGCATGCTCTCCTGACATCGTCATATGGTGTTTCACATTAATGGTATGGGAGAAGCATGGCATGTGCATGCACGGGGCATCTGTGTTGCCCCACAGGCGCTCACTCTCTGCTCTCCCTTCTCCCTCGTCATCCATCCTCTTCCGCCCTCATCCTAAACAGATCTTTGTGCCTGCCTTCTGGGGCTCGTTAGCAATTGCTGCTCTTTGCCTCGTTTCTCCTGCCCATTCGTGCCTCTCCTTTCCTGCTCATTCCTGCTTCTCCTCCCCTGCCCATTAGTGCCTCTCCTCCTCGTGGCAGTGTAGAGTAGACGCATGTGCTTGTCTCTGTGACCGAACGCCAGTTTAATTAGCCACCGGGTGAGAACTGCATGTTGGCACAAAACCCACCCTTTCCCCACTTTCCCCTCCCACCCCCGACATAACCTGTCATGTCACCCTTCCAGGAGATCTGTGCAGCACTCCTGGCCCTGTTTTGCTCTTGTCCCTGCCGCTCCTCACCCCCACCCCACCCCCGATCACTTCCATTGCCTGGTCACCAGCGACAGACTGCCATCCGGCAGACCAGACTGCCATCCGAACAGTTCAGGGCCTGTGCAGTTGTGTGTGATGTGCCTGAGCGACTCTATAGCAGACTGGTTGAGTTTCTTAGTGCTCGAAATGTTAGGCATGTGTGCTTAGTGTTACAGGTGCTCTTTGCGAACGATGGGTACCTTGAAGCGACGTGGAGGGAAATACATTATTTATACGGTATGATGAAAAATTCCATGAAGTATTGCCAACTACCGCACCACATGTGACGAAGAGGCTTTCACAAGCGTCCTTCATGTATCATACATACATACCCATGCCAATCTGCTTAGGTTCCCTCTCAATCATCCAACCGGGCCCTGCACAGAACAGCACAAGCTCGGTCAGTGAGTGAGCAGGTGCAAGCAGCACTCATCCAGCACACGCACCACTCGAGTGTGAGAGTTGAGAGCTTGAGAACATGGGGCGGTCTCAAGCCAGAGTGCAATCACTTGTTGATGGCGAAGAACCGTGCGCCCAGAGTGGCATGCTGCTATAGCTTCTCTCGCTGCGCCACTGGGATGGCCGCAGCCTGTTTGCTCTGGGCAGCAGGCACAGAGGTACACGAGGGAACCAGGAGGACACGGGTAACAAGAGCCTTGGAGAATATGCAGGTGAATAAAATGAGGGGCTAGTGCATTGCCGGAAAGGTAGTGAATGGGAGGAGGGTTGTGCATCAGAGGAGGGATTGAGAAGGGTGAGAGGGCAAGTTGAGACATGCAACTCGTATGTGCTTGCACTGCTCTCAAACCCCACACCCCCACACCCCCCTTGTGCTGTGGCAGGGAGGAGTCAGCTACAGCCACAGCCCTTCCCCCTCATCTTTCCAGCCCTGCATACCTGTTCTGGGTAGTGCACGCCCGGCATGGAGGTGCCTTCCAGCAGGGCGGCAGCAAACGCTGCTGTAGCTACGCCCACACTCCTGGCCGCCACTCATGGGTTGGGGGGAGGGACGGATGAGACGCAGGGGCAGCTAGTGAGCGGAGCAACAAGGCCGTGCATGCGCAGATGGCATCAGAGGCGCATGGGCATCCGAGTGACATGGGCATGTTGATGTTGGGTACCCATGTTAACATAATGCTGTTGGGTGGTCCCCATGCATTCACAGCAAAGTACTCACACTGTTAGGAGCTCTCACAGAGTAACACTCAAACTGATCAGCACTCACTCTGATAAGACTTCACACTGACAGAAATGCACATGGATGAACACTCACACTGATAAGCGGCGGTGAGAGATACGAGCCGTTGTGGAGCGACCATTCTCGGTTTCCAAGTCGACCTTGATGCCCGTGCACGCAGGAGAGGGGACGAGGGGGAGTAGTGGCAACAGGAGGGAGGAGGGCGGGAGACCGAGTGAGGGAAGGTAGAGGGGTGTCGAGGGGTGAAATAGAGAGTAGACAGACCAAGAGAAGGGAGGGAAAGGCGGAAGAAATGGATTCCGGGGTTGACTGATGGTATGCACTGCCGCTTAGTCACATTCCCCCCAACCTTCCCTCCTCACCCGCATGGCGACCCTCTCCCCCGCGCTGCCATCAGTGGCGCGCACCAGAGGCTCCAAGGCGCCCACAATGCGCTGCACTGCGCTGCGGTCCTGCAGCACGGCCTGGCAGGGATGTGGGCCCCAGGCAGTGGGGGGGAGGGGGGGACGGGAAGAGGGTGAGTGATGGGTGGGGATGGTGTGAGCATGCAGCGCGCACCAGAGGCTCCAAGGCACCCACCATGCGCTGCAGCAGCAGCAGCAGCAGGCTGGTGGTCAGGATGGTGGGACCCGCCCCTCCCGTGCCCACCGTGAAATACGAGAAGCTGGGGGAAGGGAGAGGAAGGAGGAGGATGGGGAGAAAGGATAGGTGGAAAGCAGAAGGGGTGAGGTTTGGTGTTGGCCGGATGGGAAGAGAAGGGGCGTGCATGGGGGAGGGGAGTGGGTGGAGGGATTGCGACGGTGCAGGAGAGGAGACAAGCGCGGAGGAACGACACGACATGACAAAGTTGGAACTTGGTGGGTGCAGGTGAGTGAGTGTGTGAGTGAATGAGCGTGTGAGTGAGTGAGTGATGGAGTGGTGGCACCGCAGGCTCTTTGGTCGAAGGCCAAGGGCGGCCTGCTGCTGGCCTTGTTGCTCCTCCATGCGCGCCCCCTCCTCCCCTGCTAGCCGCACCAGCTCTGCTGCCACCACTGCCACCAGGATGAGCACAGGAGAGCACAGCATGGCACGTTGCTCCTGCTGTCATGCCCCACCCACTCTGGGTGGGACGGATCAAGCGTGCAGTATGGCAGCATGGCAACACGGGGCACCAAGCAGACAACCCGTGGTCCAAGTCCCCTCCCCACAACTCCTCACGTCAGCTCTCATCTCCTGCCCCATCCTCATCACTACTCTCCCATCTCCAACCAACTTTTCCCCCAACATCCCACCTGGCGCCCAACCTTCCCCCCCTTCCCCATCCTCCAAATGGACAGTTGCTGACGCCCGGGTAGATGCCGGCGGTGGTGATGGCCGGCACACCCGCCGCCACTGCAGCACCGTGAAGCGAGCGCGCGTTCCCAGCGAACGCCACGTCGTCACACACGTCCACGTAGGGCGTCTGAGGAGGCGAGGGGGGGTAATTGGGAGAGTGGGGAGAGGGCGGGAAGGGAGGCACGTTGAATCCTCTCTCCCGTGCTTTCACAGCGAACGCCACGCCGTCTCTCACGTCCACGTAGGGCGACTGGGGGGGACGGGGGGGTTGAGGGGAGGGGGAAGAGGGGTTAAAAGGAGGAGATTGGCAGAGAAGCACGATTGCGCTATGACAGCATGGGGCAGGTGATGGACAGCGCAATCGAGCGGTGTGGCAGGGTAAGTGGAGGGGAGAGAGGAGGAAGAGGCCTGAGAGGAAGGCAGCCCACCTTGGTGCGGATGGCTGCCTCCAGAACGGTGCTGTTCGGTTCTCGCTGGAAGGGCCCCGCACAGTGCACCACCAGGTCGGCTCCTGCAAGCAGGCGGAGGACGGGGCGGGGGAGAGGTGATGGAGAGAGTAGGAGGAGATGCAGGTCGCGGGAAGGATGGGAGAGGGCGAGGCAGCAGCAGAGGCAGTGGCAGAGAATGGCAGAAAATGGCACGGATTGGCATGGGAGGCACGGGGTGGTCCATGGGAGATGTGAGAATCGGGGCTGTGAGGGCGACCTGTGAGGAGCGCGTCAAGTGCAGAGGTGTCGGTGATGTCGCACGCGGCAAACACCGCACTCCCTACCACCCCCGCTGCCGCCCTCACCTCCTCACACACCGCCTCGCCCTGCCCCCTGCCTCGCCTCCGTTGAGACACAGATGCGCCCACGCATGCACGCACGCATGGAGGGGTGGTGGGCGGGTGGGGAGCTGATGGGGGTTGGGGAACGACGAGAGTGGAGGGAAGAAGGAATGAGTGGAAAGCGGCCACACATTTCCGCAAGCATCGGAGCAAGGGGCACATGCAGCCATGCGCGCATGCACACACGCCGCGACGAAGCAGCACCGACAGAGATCCGCGTAGAAACGTAACGCGCAGAGAGCGCCACGCGTAGGGTGCGCCATTCCGGGCGGGCGCGCACCTGTTGCGCCCGCTGATGATGAGCTCCAGTTGGAACTCCGCGCGCGTCGCCTCATCGTCGGACGCCGCCAGCGCCGCCAGCGCCACGGCCGTCGACCGCCCCACGCGCCCGCTCCCGCCGAGAACCACCACGCGCTTCACCCCGCCGCTGCTTCGCTCGCCCCCAGCCCCGCCCCTCGACTCCTTCCCCTCATCCGCGCCTGCCGCCGCCTGCGGCCTCAGCGCGATGGCGCGGCCGCCCCGCGGAGAGGGGCGAGCGGAATGCGGCGACGGCAGAGCGGACTCGCGGGGATAGCGGAGAGCGGCGGTAGGGAGGCGGAGCGGAAGGTGAGGCGAAAGGCATGGGGAATGAGAGGCGCGCAAAGCTGGTGCGCGCGGCCGAGGGGAAGCGCGGACATGGGGCGGAATGCGGGCGACAAACGTGGCGGTGGCGGAGCTTGAGTGATGGTGGAGTTGAATGCTCTCATGTGCCGTGAACCCGTTAGTGATGACTTCGCTACTCGTTCCACGCTGTTGTGGGGTTCGAAATTACACACTTATCCTTCTTGTAGCGTGAGAAAATGGTGTAAGGCAGGGTGAAGAATCGACCCCATACCGCACTTGAACGTACTGTAATTCATTCGACACCAAACCACCGCCCAAAAGATGCGACGAAAATCAACATTTCGCGAGCCTCGCACAACACAGTAGGCCGGTTACCAGTGGCGAACCGAGCACAACCTTTGCTCACCAAAACACGCCTCCCTAAGGACGCGCCCTGAATCCCGCCTACTGCCACCCCACTGCCGCTGTGTACTCCCGCAGCCTCCCGGCTGATGACTCCGCTCGCCCCGTGTCATCACCACATTCAAGCTCGTGCTTTTCCGCTCTTCCTCCCGACATGTTGGCGACCCTCCCAGCGGCTTCTGCAGCCGGCATCGAAAAGGGCATCGCCTGTCCGCCACCTGCCTACGGCTGCTCTCGGCAACATCGGGGACTCCACCCGCCCCGCTTGTGCGAACCCCTCCTCGTGCTGCATGCGAGGCACTTACCCGAGCGACCGCGTGTCAGAAGGGCTATTGCCGACCGCCTCCGGAGCAATTGCTTCGAGCTTTCTCCGTGCGCGCGCACCCGCCGTTACCCTTGGCGATTCGGCAGCGAGCGCAGCCGTGTTGCTGTCGCAGCAGCGCAGTTATCCGCAATGACGGTGGGGACAGGCGGAGCGGGGGGATCAGAGGCGGAGGAGAGCGGGGGAAGCGGGGACAGCAGAGAGTGGGAGATGGGAGAGGGGAGAGTGCGAGGTGGACGCGTGAACATCGTTCCGCGGCAAGAAGCGGTGGAGGAGAAGCAGGCGGGCACGGCTGCAAGGGGAGTGCGCGTGGGGGAGGTGGTGCGGGGCAGCGGCGTGGAGGAGGGAGCGCAGGCAGCGGCGCCACACATGACCGTGCGTGAGGGCGAGCACGTGGAATGAGGCTGTGCTGCAGTGGGGGGAGGGAGGGCTGCAGCAGGGCGAGAAGACAGTGCGGCAGCAGAGGAGCGGCGCACAGCAGGTCTGCTCTCACACGCGCACGCACAGCCCGCACCCACGTGTGCTGACCTGCTTGTGCTGGGCGCCATGACGCCAGGGTCAGCCGCCACCCTTGGGGCAGCAGGCCCCTGGGCGGATGCGCCCTCCAGTGTGGGCAGTCACAGGAGCGCCCATGCGGATGCGTGTGCGTCAATGGAGGGCCACCTGTGCAAGGAGCCGTCGCTGCTTGTCTTCTCAGGTACCCTCCCACTGCTCCCACTGCCTCGCCTGCCCCCGTCGCCTGCCGCCATCCCTGCCGCTCTACATGCTGACGTGCGCCTCTCCCTGTGGTGCCTTCCTTGTGCACGGCCGTGTGCGGTGTGCGGCAGGAGGCACGGCGTTCAACGCGGTGGCGGAGGAGCTGCACGAGTGGACCACCGCTGTGGCGCATGTGCTGCCCGTCTCCGATGATGGCGGCAGCACCGCAGAGATCGTGCGCGTCATAGGTCAGCCACTCACACCCTGCTGCTCTCTGCCTCACCGCTCTGCAGCAAGGTGGTTCTACCGTTGCCGCATCACGCTGCCTCACCACGCTTCTCATGCTCTCTCCAGCGCCCACCTCTCTCACTCCACACCCTCTTTGACCCCCTCATCCCGCGCCACCCTGTGTGCCCCCAGGTGGGCCTGCCATCGGTGACATTCGCTCGCGCTGCCTGCGCCTGTCTGACGGGTCTACCCACGAGGCCAGAGCGGTGCGGCGACTGCTGGGACACCGCCTGCCACTGCACCCCGCGCAAGCCAAGGCAGAACGGTGACCTCGCCCCCACACCACACCCATCACAACCACTTGCTACATCCATCGCCCTCCCACCGTTCTCTGTGGGCTGGTGCGCACGGCTCACAGTGTGGCCTGCCATGGGCATGTGGTGTGGGTGTGGGTGCGGTGGGTGTGCAGGGTGCATGAGCTGTGGGGGGCGAGCATGAGCTGTGGGGGGGCGTGTCGGATCCATACAAGGAGATCATCCGCGCCTTCCTCCTGCACTTCCACTACCAGGTTCACCTCTGCTCGCCTCCACACCTCTGTTCCGCCCCGCTTGCAACATCTCCGGTGTCACCCACACCCCATCAGGACCTTCTCCCTCGTCCTCATGTGCCCATCCCCGTCCGCTCTCCGTGCGTTCTGCCTTGGCCCTCCATGCCAGATTCTCCGCAATGCAGGCCATCGCTTCTGCTTCCAGCATGGAAGGTGTGCATTCTCTTTCCGCCTCGCACACCCGTCCTTCCGCCGTGTGCTGACACTTGCACGCCACGCCCTTTACGATGACTGCCACCTTACGCTCTCCACTTTTCTTGCCGACCTCCCACCGTCACATTATTCCCAAATCCCTCGTGCGTGCCACCTGTGTGCGGCCGTGCATGGCATGTGATGCAGTGTGGGCAACTTCTTCTTCTCGGGCGCGCGCGCCTTCTTCCGCTCGCTGGACGCCGCCATCTTCCTCTTCTCGCGCGTCTCCAACATCCCACACCGCAGCCTCGTGCTGCCACCAACGACCGCTTCACTCTCGGCGCCGAGCTCTACGTAACCACACACCCCCCCCGCACACCACTTCCTCCCTCTAGTCATGCCTCTCATGCCACCTCCATACTGACAAAATCCCCTACCCAGCTCTTCATTGCCTCCAATGCCTATCACTGCAGCATCCCACTTTGGCTCCGCATTAGCATTGCATGGCCATCTTCTTTCAGTGATTACCATAAGGCCCATTCCTCCCAGCCCAGCTCTTTCACTGGTCGGCACGCAGGTTGCCTCGGGCTAGGGCAGGTGACGCGCCACCAAGGGCAGCGGTGGTAAAATTGCATGTGTAGATTGAAACGTACGTATATCAATGTTATCTTGTGTCCTGTTGCTGATCCTAGCTATCTATACATGGCAAGCCATGCTACATTGTCGTACGGTAGCTGGCACGGAAGAGCTTATTTAGCAACCGCACTAACGTACAGAATTATCCCCTTGTGCCTTTCCGCCTTGCAAACAACTCTAATGCACACATCCTGACCCAACTCAGCCTTTCCCGCTACCCGCTCACTTCCTCTTTCTTTTAGGAGCAACAGTCTTGGGGAACGTGAGGGGCACCCGCAAAACAGCGACAGTCTCCACCACGCCGGCAGCAGCACCTCCCCTTGAACTCTCGCACCCCATCTCCCTCAAATGCTTCATCAATATGGGTGCAGCCATCTTAAGGTCAGCTGCGAGCGCAACGAGAGGCAGGCGGAAGGCTGTGGCGTGCAGTGCGAGGGCAGCAATGTAGCTGATGAGCAGCTGCTTCAGGCGCAATGGGAACTTATACCTCTTGCCACCTACGTTGTGCTGGTCCTCCGCTTGCGCACGGAATATCTGCGGCAGGCGGGCTGCCGTCGGAATGGGCATGCCATACTCCTTTGAGATAAGCTCAGGCGAGGGCAGGGAGGTTGAGGAGGGGTGGGAGGAGGCAAGTGTGCGCAAGGCACTGGCGTGCAGGACGGCTTCGGGCATGTGCAGCATGAGCACGAGGAAGTGGATGTGCAGCAGCAGCCGTGCGTAGTGCGTCTTGGATTCCCCCGTCTTGGTCTGCGTGGTGGATAGAGGGACACACGGAGAACAGTGAGGACCAGGTGCATGGGATGGCGTAAGCAATGAAGTTAGCAACAAACGAATGCCAGAGGGAGCATGAGCAACCACCACTTGGCATGACACCAGCCACCACCTCTCACGGCACCATGTTGCAGATCACAGCATCACGCCATCTCACCAGCAGAAGCCCCAGTCGCTCCTTCACAAACGTGGGCAGCGCATTCAACAGCTGCCGTGCCGCCTGTTTCGACTTAAAATCCATACCCATCCCTTCTTTGTCCTCCTCCTCACCCCCCCCTTCCCCTCCTCCCGCTCGTTTCTCGCCTTGAACGAGGCCCTTGGCCTTCTGGTTCTTCCGCATCTCAGCCTGCAGGGCAGCGGCGGCCAGCAGCACAGCGACGTCTGTGCACTCCCACTCCTCGCGCGGCACCAGGTACGCCAGCGGGTATGCCTCCTCCACCTGCGTGGCTGCAGGGTTGTGCGGAGGCAAGTAGCTCGCCGCGCTCTGCTGCGCGTCCAGGTCCTGCTGAGTGAGCGCGAGCGGCGCCGCGGCGGCGGATCGCACAAGGTGGCCCAGGGCGTCGCTGGCCTTGAGCGACTCGCCGCTCACCTGCCCCCGCTCCGCTGCTGCCACCTGCACCGTGCCGTCAATAGGACAGACGACGGGTTGTACGGGCAACGCACCACGAGCGCTTTAAGCGACGCACGTGGAACAAGGATCATCAAACAACGAAGCCAGGTTGACCTGAAGGAGAGAAAGAGCAGAGGAATAATGAACAGCGTTCGGCAGCAACGGAGACTCACCCTGCTCTTGCTCTTCTTGCTACCGAACGTCGCGGTGAGCAGTCGTCGCTTGCGCATGTCCTCCTGGTACTTGGCCAGACTCGAGCTCCCGCCAGACACGGGCTCCGCCGTCACCACGCTCGCTGTGCGCTCGTCCGCTGCGCCCACGGCGCCTCCCGTGTGGCGCTCCGCGTCGTACGCCACCGCTTTCACGCGCGCCTCCATGCGCACAACCTGCCCGCACGGGCGGGAAAGAAACACGCAGTTATGAAATCAAGCTGGGGGCCACATGCGAGGGCGGGGAAGGCCACACATGATGGTTTCAGATATTGAGTTCTCCATCGCAGCCTCTCCTATGCCCTCGCTAAAGAAACCTCACGCCGCCGCGGGTTAGAGGCGAGTGTCTTTGGCGATAAGTGGAGGTGCAAAGCCCGACGCGAAACACACCTTAGGCGCGGCGAGGGGCAGCAGGTGCAGCTCCTTGCTTTTCCGCTTAAACACGCCCAGCACCAGCGACGTGCCCAGCTGCCCCGCCGCAGCCGCGCCGCTCACGCCCCCCTCGCCGTCGTCATGTGTGCGCCCCACTAACCACGTCGCATCCGTCTCCCCCAGCAGCACCTGCCGCACGCCGCCCGCCCGCGACGCCGCGCCCTGCAGCACCCGCAGCTGCACCTTCTGCCTGCCTCCCGCCGACTCCCCGAGGCTAGAACTCGTCGCAGCATGGAGACTGAGAGCGCCGTCGGTGACTGTAGCGGAAGGGACAATTGCGGATGCCTCCACCGAAGACGCGGAGATAAATGCTGGAATGGCCCCTAGAGGTAAATGCGCGACAAAAGGTGGAAGCTCCACCGGTTGACCCTGCTCCACTCGAAGTGTGAAGGACGTGCGCTGCTGGTCTGAATCCATCGAATAGGTAACAGAAACCGCGAAATAAGTTTCTCACTTGGAACTTCAGTGGCCCTGAAGGTCGGGTGGAAGCACCTTTCCAGAACCCTGAACCTAAACCCAGCACATGTGATGGTGCTGAAGTGCTTCTGACCTCGGAACACCACTCCATGGTACAGTTCGGTTCCTTACGTTTTTCTGAACTCTGCACTTCTCCAAGACTTCCAGGTGGCCTTACTAGTTTATTTATTGCCATCAATAGACGAACCATATTCCTTAAGGATTCTACGAAACAAATTATATTTTAGAATCCGTAATCCGCCATCTTGGGCATAAAAAAATCTGTTAAATTGCGAAACGAACCAGGTGTTCTAAGAATTCTCTAAAATGTAATCCTTCTTCTATGAATGAATGTATGTATTATATTATTCTAAAAATATAAGGGAACATCTGGTATCAACGTGTATCTGACTGTGGGTGGAGATAAAGTGCGAGGTGTGGCTGGATCAATGCCATGTCACCATTCTCCAAACCAGACTTCGTTGCAGCCTACAACTCAGGCCCACTTTCGCCCCTTCGTGCGTGGCGTTGCGACGAAAGGATGGATGGCTGACGCTCTGCCTTATCCGTGAGGCTCTTGCGAAAGGAAGGGGAGACACGTGTCATCATTCAAAGACAGAACTTTCCGTGCTTGGGGAGAGTCTTCTCGATCTCATGTTGGTGTGGGTCGTCTGCTCGTTGTGGGGCATGGGTGAGGTAGGAAACGGAGCACTTGACTCAGCACCACAGCGGAGCAAAACCTGTGTGGTCGCGAGCGCTTTCCACACCTGATTGGTCAAACACAGGCTTTGACGGGTAGTTTTCCCCACCCGCTGTATTCAGCTCCACCTTCCTCTCTTGATGTTTGTTTTCGTTTTCTGGGAACCCTGGATCTTAATATTTTCTTGATAAGTACCCGTTAAAGGCCTCAGTAGGTGAAAATTTCTTCTCATCAACCTATGGGGGCCTAAAACTTTAATGAATTGAAGCTAATCTTGGTTTAACTTGGAAAGGCTGACCTTTCAAGGGCATCAATCTAGACTCTCCTCGCCCAGCGGTTCTCTCGCATCCGCTCCCGCTGCCAATCCCCCGGCCAGTCACTTGGCCCCTCCACCTGCTTCCCGCATCTAGAGAGACTAGCTCATCGTGCTGTTGTGCTCTGATTTGAACCAAATCCTCCTTCCAAGCACCACTGTTGTGCCACTACATTGAACCTCACCTTTTGGAAACGTTGCTGGTCACGGACTGATTGAAAGCAGTCCCGTAACCTTTCTGCACGGTACCGGGGACTCAAACCATCAGGCAAACACGATACCCAAGTCTGCTGCGGCAGCTGTGGGCTCTGTGGAGGTGAAGGCTGCGTAAGGTCAGGCGCCATGGAGACCACTGCGAGCTTGGCAGCGCGCCCGCTTCCCTTACTTGGAACAGTTGAGCCCCGTGCAGGTGGCCGATTCAGTAGCCTCGATGCACTTTCTGCTCGGCGGATTACCATTGCCACTCGCACGAGTCTGCCGGGTAGGCCGTGGCACGGCAGCTGCAGAGTGCGCGCCGAAGTCCCTGCTGACGCCAGCGGCGGGAGCAGCGGCTCTGTTGCGGAGAGTAGCCAGTCGGTGAGGTCCTCGGGCAATGAGCGCTCGGCTTTGGCGGAGCGCAACGAGCGACTGATGCGCATGCAGAAGGAGCTGCTGGATCAGGTAAGGCCCGCCGTGCAAGTCTAGTATGCAAATTGCACCTACGCACTCGTATATTTTTTTTTTTTTTGGTTGTTGTGTCACTCTGTTTGCTCCATCTCCCTGACACCAGCAATTAATTTGTTCTCGCTGACGCTTCCCTTTTGCGTGTTCTCGGGCAGCTGGAGGAGCGGCGTAAGCTACACGCCGCGTTATTGCAGTCGCTGGACACGCCAGCTGCCACCATAAAGGCGTTCAACGAGTCGGATCGCGGGGGTCTCCCACCCGTGTCTCGCCAGGACCTTCAGCCCGCATCACCAGCTCGCCTCGCCCGTCCCCCTCCTGCGTCACCCCCGTCGCTTCCGCCAAGGGCTGCGCCTGCACCCGTCGCCCCCACTGCTACTGCTAGTGCCCGCGCACCCCCTGCTTCGCCTAAACCCGCACCCGTTGCTTCGCCAACCCCCGCAGCAGTAGCCAGCAGCAAAGCGCCGTCGCTCCCGGTCAAGGCGCCCTCCTCGTCGACCCCGTTGCGCCCGCCCGTCGCCCGCACGTCCCCCGCTGCCAAGCCCGCGACGTCTCCCGTCGCGATTCCTTCCAGAATGCCACCTCCCGTCTCTCCTCCCGCCTCTACCCCCCCTCCTCCCGCTGCCCGGCCTTCGCCTTCTCCTGTCGCTGCCGGCCCCCCTGCCGCAACCAAACCGCGCGCCACCCCTGCTGCTCCACCATCCTCGCCGGCCACACGGCCTCCACCTCGCTCCCCTGCCCCCACCCCGAATCAACCCGCAGCACCTTCAGCACCTTCCCTTCCACCTTTCGTCAGTGCTGTTACAGCTGCACGAGCGGCGCCCAAGGTTGCTGCACCTGCTGCCCCCCTCGCCGTTCCTAAGCCAAGACCGTCCGCTCCTCCCATCGCCCCGCCTCGCGCCGCGCCGCCTCCTCCAAAGTCTGTAGCGCCGCCCGCGCCAGCGGCGGTTGCGCCTTCGGCACCCCCGGCAGAGGTGAAGGCGGAGCCGCTGGCGGGCCCGAATGTGATGAACGTGGTAATGGTGGCGAGTGAGTGCGCGCCCTGGTCCAAGACTGGCGGCCTCGGGGACGTCGTCGGCGCGCTGCCCAAGGCCCTCGCGCGCAGAGGCCACCGCGTCATGGTGAGTGCGGGCGGTGGGGAAAAGAGGGTGGGGGGAAGGGGAATTCGGAAGAGTTGGGGGTAGGGAGAAGGGGGAACGGAAAAGTGGGATTGGGTGTTTCGGAGGGGAATCACAATAAAAAGACTGCTGGTGACTCGGCGAAGGGTGTGCGGGCCGTGCCGTGAATGAAGCTAATGGCGACCAAAAGGGTAAATAATCGAGCATGATGGGCGGTTGTGAAGATGCAGGACCTCTAACGTGCGGTGCTGTGCGTGTGCGTGCGTGGCAGGTGGTGGTGCCTCGCTACGGCAACTACGAGGGGCTGGAGAGCACAAACGTTCGCAAGAGATTCAACGTCGCAGGCCAGGTGCTCATTGCCCCCCATGCCATGCTGTGCCCGCGCGCATGCGCACGCGATTCCATGCGCATGCGATGCCATGCCGTGTCTAAGCATGCGTATGCACGTCGTTGTGTTGGTCGAAGCGTGTGAGGTATCATAACCTTAGCCCGCGGGTACCGTCTGTGCGCGCGGTCGCCCCGTGCAACAATGCAAGCACCCACCACATTGTCGATTGCGATCGTGTGAGTGTGCTGCCTATGGTCGATTCTTGATGCGATTGTCTGTGCGTGCGGTGGCGGCATGCGTGTGCGTGTGCGCGTGGCAGGACATGGAGGTGTTGTACCAGCACAAGTACGTGGACGGCGTTGACTTCGTCTTCATCGACCACAACTGGTTCCACCACCTCAACCAAAACATCTATGGCGGCTCGCGCGAGGTACCGTACTGCCACCCGCCCCGCACGTCCCCATGGCTTGTGTGCCGCGCGCGTTCCTTGCTGCTCCGGGCGACACACCACTCGTGTGTGCGCGGCCCTTTACACTGCTGCCGTGTGTCCTCACTGCCATCCCCTCCTTGTGTGCGGATCTCTGCCTGTGTGTGGGGGAGGGGGGGCTTTGCGTATGCGTGCATGTGGGTGCACTTGTCTGCATGTACATGCGAGCTGTTTGCGAGTGCATGTCGTGCATGGGCGTTGTGTGTGCTTCTGCCTGTTGTATGTGTACGCCCCTGCAACCGCAATTAACAGGAGGTGACCAAGAGAATGATTCTTCTCTGCAAGGCAGCCATTGAGGTATGACCCCTGCACCACTCCCTTCCGCACCTCCTTCCATTACCACCTTACTCGCCCCATGTCCCTTGTTGGCCCATGTCAATGACCCCCTCCCCCCTCGCTACTCTAACCTCCCTGCACGCGTGGCTGCAGGCGCCGTGGCACGTGCCATGCGGGGGGGTGTGCTACGGGGACGGCAACCTGGTGTTTGTGGCGAACGACTGGCACACAGCACTGCTGCCGGTGTACCTGCAGGGGTACTACCGCGACCACGGCATGATGGAGTTCACGCGCTCCGTGCTCGTCATCCACAACATGGCCCACCAGGGCCGCGGCCCTGTCGCTGAGTTCCCCTGGCTGGGCCTGCCCGACCACTACATAGAGCGCTTCCGCCTGTACGACCCGGTGGGCGGCGAGCACATGAACATCTTCATGGCCGGCATCATCAGCGCCCAGCGCCTCGTGGCTGTCAGCCGCGGGTACGCGTGGGAGGTGCAGACGCAGATGGGCGGGTGGGGGCTGGATGGCGTGCTGCGCGAGCATGCAGGCAAGCTGCGGGGCGTGGTGAACGGCATTGACACGGTGGAGTGGGGGCCTGAGAGCGACGTGCACCTGGTGGACGACAATGATGGGCGCTACGGGTACATGCACTACAACATCGACACTCTTGAGGAGGGCAAGGCTGCCTGCAAGGCTGCCCTGCAGCGCGAGCTGGGGCTGCCTGTGCGTGCTGACGTGCCGCTGCTGGGGTTCATAGGGCGGCTGGACTACCAGAAGGGCGTGGACATCATCGCAGAGGCCATGCCGTGGCTCACCCAGCAGGACGTGCAGCTCGTCATGCTGGGTACCGGCCGAGAGGACCTGGAGAATGTGCTGCGGGAGATGGAGGGCAAGCACAAGGACAAGGTGCGCGGGTGGGTGGGCTTCTCCGTCAAGATGGCCCACCGCATCACGGCGGGCTGTGACATCCTGCTCATGCCCTCGCGCTTTGAGCCCTGTGGGCTCAACCAGCTGTATGCCATGCGCTATGGCACCGTGCCCGTGGTGCACGCCGTGGGTGGGCTCAGGGACACGGTCACGGCCTTTGACCCGTTCAATGATTCGGGGCTGGGGTGGACGTTTGACCACGCGGAGGTGGGCGGGCTGGTGCACGCGCTGGGCAACGCCATCTACACGTACCGCGACTACCGTGACTCGTGGCGGCGCCTGCAGCGCAGAGGCATGGCGCAGGACCTGAGCTGGGACGCTGCTGCGGTGCAGTACGAGGACATCCTCGTGGAGGCCAAGTACACGTGGTAGATACACACAGGCCCGGGGTTTGTGTCACGCGCCTTGCTGCTGATGGGGATGTGAGACTATCTTGCTTGGGAGTGACATGGGGTGCACAAAGACCAATTGATTTGAGGATTTTGTTGATGCGGTTGTGGAAAGAGCCTGCGCTCTTTCCTTGTTTTACATTCACGACCCTGTCATCCCAGTGCTCGTCAGAGTGCATTGCCTGCATGCTGCATCAGCCAGGCTGGTAGTGCACGTGCAGAGAGCCTTATATGTTGGACTCGCTTTCTTGTTGATGCCGGAACCCACATCATATTGACATTTAAGTATGCTACTGGTATAAACTGTGATGTGTTTGTCATGTTTAAAAAAATCATGTTCCAGTCTATAGAAGATGGGTGATTGCAGTTTAGATGGATGAGCTATTCGGCAGTCCAGTCATCCCTGGCAGGGTTGGTGTGAGAGTTGTGGTTGAAGAGAGGTGCAGGCACTGCATGATGCTCCACCACATGCACTGGCACCTCTGGCTTGGTGTCCAGCCCTATAAACCCCTTCCCCGTCTGCTCCCCCGCTCCCCACTCACACACACACAGAGGGAAGGCATGCACATGGAATGGTTGCACAAGGAGGCACACACAAACAAGTCACACACGCAATGGCACACGCACAGGAAGGCACACTCACGCACAATGGCACACACATACAGATAATTAAAAACAGAAATGGTATGGGAGGAAGCAGTGAGGATGTGTCTGGGAGGGCAAAAGACAGGGAGAGGCGAAAGAAACCAAATCAGGACAGTGTGATCATAACGTGGAGGAGGGAAGCATGAAGAGAGTGGGAAGGGGGAGAAGCAGTGTGGTCGTACCGGGCAGTGTGGGCGTACCGGGCAGTGTGGGCCATCGTAGTGCAGGTGTTGGTAGTAGGAGGTGGCGGGGTGGTGCTCAGGGTCGTGCACCTCTGGCGTGCCACTGGGACACACCTCCTGCCATGCCACGTGCCGTGCAGGGGGGCGGGCACAGCAGGGAAACGCACAGGCAGCGGGGAGAGGGCACGGGCGTTGGGGGGGTGAGAATGGGAGAGGAAGGGCGGAGGTGCATGGAGGAGAGACGTGACGCGTGCGTGCACCCTCAATGTGCGGCCATGCATGAATGAACCACTCCACTGACACCAATGCGCCACCACATTCCCCGCGTTGTCCCCCTACAATCCCCCCCGCGCACCCACCTCCCCGTGCGCCACGAGGTGCGCCAGCGCGCGCCTCTCGGGCAGGTCCACCGCCACGGCATCGTCCGCGCCGAACACGCCCCCGCCCTCGCCCGCCTCGCTGCGACTGGGCTTGGGCGCGCGCCGTGGCGCCTGCGACTGGAAGTACTGCTCCACCTGCGCGCGGGGAACGGGGCACGCCCCGCCACGCCATGCGCACGCGGAGGGAGGTGGGGGGTGGGGGTTGGGGTTGGGCGCGGAGGTGGGACCACGGGGATATGTTTGTGCGAGGGCGCGCGGTCGGCCCTGCGAGGCATGCGAGGACTCATTGTTCGGGTGGCCACAAGGAAGGAGACGCGACGCAAAACCGGCGGCCAGATTCATGTGCGCGCACGCGGCGGTGGTGGGTGCAGCGCAAGGCGACTGCATGAGGCGGCGACACGCCGCGCCGCGCTCACCTTGGCCGTGGCCGCTGCCTGCTGCTCCGGCGGCAGCACCTCGTCGCTGCGCGATGGCTTCACGCCGCTCACCGGCCACATCGCGAATCCCGCAACGGGCTTGCTCGACCGTGCAGGTGCAGCGCGAGGTAAGGAACGAGAGCGTGAGTCGCGGAGCGGCGGAATTAGAGGAAATGGCGGGGTAGCTTTCTAGCAGTGATCTGGAAGGCAGCAGCCTGGGATGCGATCTGCAGCTCAAGCTGAGACGATCCCGAGGTGTGCGTGTGAGGGGCGTCTCCCAGCAACACTAGGTTCCCGAAACTTCCATCGCGCTGAGAATCTGACAGTTTCAATAGCCTGTTCTTGCCTAGGTATGTTATTTTTAGCATGTTATTTCTACAGCTCATAGCAATATGATCATTCCATCTATAAACTGGAGCCACAAAATCGTCTTTTCCACATAGCGAGAGGGGAGTGGAGGGGCAAGGGTGAACGAAGCCAAGCAGTGCAGGTTCACACTCGTTTTGAGACACAGAAGGAGGCACAGGGCTCCTGGGGCAGCACTCGCAGCAGGTGTGGGCCGGCAGGGGAGTGGCTGATGGTGTCGGGGTTGATCTGGGGCAGGTGCAGCACGGGGGGACGCACAAAGCCCGACTTCACCGGCAGGCAGTGCAGCGACAGCAGGTGCTTGGCCCCGCGCCCCAAGGGCAGGCGCAGAAAGCCCTTGCGCCGCCCCGCTATCATCCAGTCGTCCCCACTCACCCGCACCTCAAACTCCACCTCCTCGCCCTCCCCTCCCTCCCACGCCTCCTGCTGGGGGGTAAGAGCGGGTCGCCGTGGGGAAAGACAGACCCAGTAGTCAGCGGTGTTATGGCAGGTCACACATAACCCCTCAACCAGCAGCAGTGCAGCTCCATGGGCATGAAACACAGGAAGCTTTCAACTCGCAGGCGAGCAACCAGAGAGAAAGTCACAGAGTTTGCAAGGGGGGAGTGAGCAGCGTACCTGGTGCGAGGGCGGCGGGAGGAGGCCGTCTATGAGGCGTTCAATGCGCCACTCCAGCACCAGCACACACCCCACCCGCGGGGCGATGCTCACTGCACTGGCTGGCGTGAGCAGCCCCACCGCCAGCACTCGGTCCGTGACAGGCATCTGCAGCACCACTGCATGCCGGTACACTGGCACCACACCCCCGCTCACCCCCCTCCCCTCCTCCCCCTCCACCACCGCCTGTCCTCCCCCATCTTCTCTCTGCCCCACGCCCACATCGTCTGCGCCACCTCCCAAGCGTGCCCCCTCGCCTCCTCTCGTGCGCGCCCACAGCGGTGTGGCGACGGGCGTGTGGGCGCCGTGCAGGCGCTCGCCCTGCACCTCGTAGTGCACGCGCAGCTCACTCACGCCCTCCACGCCCCCCTCCCTCTCGCCCTCCTCTCCCCCCGCCTGCCCGTCAGGCACTTGAAGGCGCGCCGCTGCAGCGAGGCAATGAGGAGCAGGGAGGGAGAAAGGCAGGCGGGGAGGGGTTGAGCATGCGATAGCAAGGTGGTGGCACGGAGTTGCGTGTGGTGTGGCCATGATGCTCACATGGCCACACACATTCGAGTAAGGGGAGCCGCGAGCACAGAGAGCAACCGGTTCCTACACGCACTGGGGGAAAGGGGTGGGACAATTGCGCGCAACAGAGAGCTAAGAGACAAGGGGAGAATGACAGGGAAGGGGGAAGCAAGGGGGAGGGAATATGTGCAGGACAATGCAAACGAAACCACTGCAGAGTTAGACAAGGCGGCAGGGAGGCAGAGAAAGAGACGGAGAGAGGAGAGAGGAACAATGCAAACGAAAACAGTACTGGAGCGCAAGGGTATTGGAGGGCAACGAGTGAGAGGGAGTGAGCATGCACCTGTTCTTGGAGCAGCCTTAGAGGCAGCAGCGGGCGCTTCCCCCGGTGGTCGCAGTGAGAGTGTGAAGAGCAGCGTGCCTGAGAGCAGCGGCCCCACGTCCAGCAGTGGAGCAGGAGCGGAAGGGCTCAGGGCAGAGGCGGCGGCAGCAGAGGTGGTGAAGGCGGCAGCAGCGGCGGTGGAGAGGAGGGAGAATCCGGGCTGCAGGCGCAGCGAGGCGGAGGCGATGCGCAGCGTGCAGCGCAGATTGGAGTGCAGGGACATCTGTGGGGCGAGGCGCATGGGGGGCAGCGCAGTGGGAGGGAGGGCTCAGCAGTGCAAGGCACGGTGACAAGAGGATTGACAAGAGACATAGTATTCTATGGAATCTAGCGCACACTGAAGTGAGGAATGAGGAGATGAAGTGAGGAAGGGCAGGTTGAGGGGTGAGGAGCGACCTGGAGCAGCATTCTGGCACCATCGGCCCCTCTGCTGACGACTCTGGTGGCCACGTGGAAGGGCTCCACGAACTGGAACGTCAACACCCTGTGAGCGCACATGCACCGCCACACACACGTGCACACATGGGTGAGAGGAGCCGGAGAGAGCACGTGAACGACACACAGGCAGGAAGCAGGTGGATTACGACGGAGATTGGTTGGGCAAGAAAGCGGCAAGCATTGGAGTGCAGTTAGAAGGAGAGAGTGGTGGGAGGACATACTTTTCAAAGACACGGCTGCGAGGCGTGCCATACTCCACCACACACCGCACCACACGCACTGCTGCCACTGACGCCGCCCCCGCCTGCCCCCTCGCCCCGCCTGTTCCCGTGGCCTGCTGCGGTGCACTGTCCCCTGACGGGCTGCCGTCCCTGCTGCTCCTGCTGCTCACGCTGCCGATGCTGCTGCTGTTCCAGTCCGTGGAGGAGAAAGATGCTGATGATGACATGCCCTCCGCTCCCCCCGCCTGCTGCCGCTGCTGGGAGCTGGTGGGGGAGGAGGAAGGCGAGGAGGCAGCAGGCACGAGCACAGGGGGCGAGGGGCGGTCGCGGAAGGCGCAGGCCTGCACCCACACGACAGTGGGGCAGTCAGCGCACCACGACGGCAGGTGCAGCGACCCTGCCACCATCGCCACTGCCTCGCTGCCCCCCTCCGGCACCTCCCCGTCGCCCGCCTTGTGCTTGCCTGGCTGGCGCAGCGCGGAGGGGTATGCGGGCGGCAAGCGCTGGCACTCGACGGTCTGGTTGGGCGGCAGCAGCAGGCCGGGCCCGCCTGCTAGTCTGAGGAGCGAGCCCGCGAGGGAGTAGGAGAGCGGGTGCAGCAGCAGCCCCAGCCACTGTGGCTCGCCCAGCAGCAATGGCTGATCCACCACCGGTGCCATGTCCAACAGATGGCGTGATGGTGACACCTGCGCTCACACACACACACACACACACACACACACACACACACACACACACACAGAACACGGGCATAGCCAATAGGAACCCCATGGCAACATCATCAGCATTTCATTGCACGTCAGAGGAAGGGCAGGAGGAAGCAAGAGGGCATGGGCAGTGCAGGCAGCAGCAGTGGGGAGGGGAGCAGTGGCACCTTGAGCACGGTGCGCAGAGTGCGCTCGGAGGTGAGGTAGTCCTCGGCCTCGGGTGGGCCGCCCTTGATGGTGGCGGAGCTGGATCGGAAGCGCACGCGCCCACAGTGCCCCATCAGCATGCCCAGCACGTACACGCCCTGCCGCTTCGCCACCGCCACCACCTGCACCGTGTTGGCCCCCGGCTGCAGCACCACTGGCGCTGGCTCACTCTTCATCTGCACCCCCCCGCCCACCCCACACACACATGCACGTGTGGCAGGGCACGGTTGCAAACAGTCATCGAATTAGCAGCGAACTTTCGTTGTGAAAGCAATGCGAGGCAAGGAATCAGGAACTGAGATTCTTGAGCAATGAAATGGGTGGGTGCGGGGAGTGCGCGTGTGTGCTTGGTGTGATTCACTGGGGCGGGGATGGCGAGGCTTACCCTGATACCGTCCTCTGCTGTGAAGAGAGGTGGGGTGACAAGGGAGAGAACGAGCGAGTCCAGTGCAAGGGGGGCAGGCATGGAGCTCCAGACAGCGAGGGACAGCGACACCACGTCCCCCTCGCCCAGCTCCAACGCCTTGCTGCCCGCCCTGCCTGCTGGGGACGCTGGCGCAGCGGCAGCAGGCGAGGTAGCAGGCGATGCAGAGGGCGCGGGAGTGTGGGGGGCGAGGGAGAAGGAGAGGAGGGAGGAGACGTCGACAGAGACGGGTTCTTCCAGTCGCGAGCGCGCCACCTCCACCATCTGGCGCTGCACCTTGCTGCGCTCGTCCGCGGGCACGAGGGAGGGCCCCAGCGACAGCAGCTTGGTGCAGGAGCCCAGGAAGGCGGGCAGGTCGCGCATGAGCAGCTGGCAGTGCGAGAGGCGCGGGAAGAGGTCCAGCAGCAGGTGGTGCCACCGCGCTGCGCTGTACGCGGCGTTCTGCTTCTCGTACACCTTGAGCGCCAGGTCAAAGCGCCCTGCCGCCTCGTGCAGACTGCCCACCTCCGCGTCCAGGGCCACAGCATGGCGCAGCCACAGCGAGCGCGCGTAGCAGTCCGCTGCTGACCGCGTCAACTCCAGATAAAAGTCCTGCTCGCACCCACACATGTGCACATGCATGGGATCGCAACCAGTGCACGAGTGTGAGTGCATGGAGGCTCAAAAAGCTAGTAATATGCAACAGCAACTCCTTTCCTGTAATATGTGCCACCCACTGTGGTGCATGCGTGCAGGGAGTGTGCTGGTGAGTGCAGCGGCGAGCAGAAAGCAGGGCACGGACCTCAAAGTGTTCGCGCGAGGAGAGAGCGCGCTTGAGCATGCCCGAGGTGACAAAGGCCTCCAGCGCGCTGGCAGCCGCCACCTGCACCTGCGCCAGTGACAGCATCTTCGCCCCCGCGCCCCCTGGCGGCGTGCCCGGCCGCTGCTTTGGCGGGGTGCTGCTGTCCGACCTGGGAAGGGAGGAGGGCGGGGGGGGGGAGAAGCAGGGCAGCGGGCTGGTGAGGTGTGGGACTGCAGCAAGCATGCCAAGGAAGGCGAGCGAGAAGGAGCGAGAGGAGAGCAGGGCGAGCAGGGAGCGGACCTGGAGGGGTCGGTGGGGCGCGAGGGCGAGGAGTCGGGCCAGAGCCCCCCGGGCATGCCGGCAGTGAGCGAGGCCTTGCGGCGGTTGGCCTCCTGCACCAGGCTGCACGGCCCCACCCCGCACAGCCTCGCCTCCCCCCTCGCTGCCCCCGCCCCCTGCATCTCCTGAATCACTGCCTGTAGGAGGGGGAGATGGGGAGGTGAAGGCCGGAGGGGAGGGAGAGGAAGGTGAGGGCATGCAGGGAGGTGATGGACGAGCACTGTTGAAAGTGACACTAAGATGGAACGAGGCAGGGCATGGTGTAGAGTGGTGTGCAGCAGGTGCGGTGCAGAGAAGCGGAGGCGCGGGGGGGCGTGACCTCGCGGGCCTTGACTCGTGGGTCAGACTCCGAGGGCGCTGACGGCCACACCGCTGGCGCTGGCCACGCACTCAGCCCCAATGCCGCCCTGCCACATGCGGAGGGGGGGGGGGAAGGGCGGGGAGAGGGGGGGGAAGAGGGTAGAGATAACGGAGAGTTGGCATGAGTGAGGCAGCGTGTATGCATGCAGCAGTGGCGGCAGAGATGCAGAGAGGGACGGCTGTGCACACAGCTGACAAGCATGCCCGAGGCCTATGCTGGCCCCGCATGTATGCACATGTGAGGCTGTGATTGCTGTGCCGGGTACACTCTGCCTGCATGCCTATGTGTGCCGGCTCTGCCCCTGTTAGGCTCGCAGTGTTTCCTTTGGCTCATTCATTCAAACAGGAAAGTGCAGGTACGAGAGTGGGAGAGAGACGGGAGCGAGGGGTGAGGGAGCACATGTTGCAGGGCGTGACACGGATGGACTTGCCAAAGCCCACGAGGTCGCCCAGGCGCATCAACTGCCACACACAGCGCGGCGTGGGGGAGACACACAGCAGGGGGGCAAGGCACACGTGAGCAAGGCGTGCGGCAGAGTTAGGGGCACATGCGTGCAGATACAGAGGGGAGGCGGGAGCGGTGTGGGAGGGAGGGTCAACATGAATGAACCAACTGAGCGTAGGAGTATGGGGGAAAAAGTAAGAACAGGGCAAACGAAACCCCATGCGGCATTGACAGAGGCATGGGGGAAGCGGGCGCGGGGTGGAAGAAATGAGTGTGCAGTCGGTGTCGTGAAGATGGTGCAATGGTGCAGGCAGGGCGAGGGGGAGGGGGGGCGCGGGGAGTGGAGGAGGGGCGGCGTGCCTTGGAGCGGGCGAGGGAGATGAGGTCGCCCTGCAGGCGGAAGAAGTCCTTCTCCGTGTAGTGCCCCGGTGACCGCGGGGCAAAGCGCTCCGCACACACCGTCGTCACCAGCGTGCACGCTGACAGCACCCACACCTCCCTCATGCAGAACGGTAGCTCTCGCTGCCCGGGACAAGCGGGGGAGGGGGGAGAGAGGGGTTGATGCGCATGTACACACGCAGCGACTGTGAGGGGGGGAACTGGCTCCAGGCGAGGAAAAAAAAAAGCGGTTGTGCTGGTGCGAGGGGTGAGAGTGCGAGGTAGTGGAGGGTGATGGACGGTGTATGGTTGGTCAGTGCAGGGGGAGGCATGCAGCACCTGGCGGGCAGCGAGCTCCTTGGAGAAGTCGAGGATGAACGCGTACGCCCTGTCCGCCACCACTGCTGGCCGCCCCATGGCGAACAGCAGCTGCGGGGGGCGTGATGGGGTTGGGGGGAACGAGTGGGAAGGTGTCGCAAGGCACAAGTGCGTGCTGCGAGTGCGAACGAAAAGGATGAGGCTGAAATGCTGGCGCGCGGTGGTGCATGTGGCGTGATATGGGGCCAGAAGGGAGTGCAGTGGGGTTGGCGTGGAGTGGAAGGGCGGAGCATACAGCGGCGCGGCGGGCAAAGAGGTACTGGCGGAAGTCGAACTGCTTGATGGTCTCCTCGTGGGCAAACATCTTCATGGGCTTGCGCCCTGCGTCCAGCAGCGCCGCCCGCTCATCCCCCACGTCCAACCCCCCAAACTCCCGCACCTTGCTGTCCGCCCGCCGCACTGCACCGCACCGCACCACACACACCACACCATACAGCACGCACACACGTCAGGGCACGGGAGCGCATGGAAGAGATATTGCAAGGTGGTGGGTTGGTTGGGCTGTGGTGTGTGTAAGCAAGGCATGGTGGTGTGGTGCAATTAGTATGGCTAGGTGCGAGGTGGCATGGGGTGGGGGGACAGCGTGTGTGTGGGGGGCGCGGACCTGTGTCGAGGTAGACCTGCTCCATCTCGTCATAGTCCCTCAACGCATCGTCCCTCAACTGCGCCATCTCCGCCATCAGCGCCAAACTCTCCTGCCATCATCACACGCACACACACAGGTGGGGGAAGGGAAGACGAGGGAGGGAAGATGAGGATGAGAGAGGAAGATGGGGGCAAGAGAAAGCAACACTTGGGAATGTGGAGAAGCAAGAACCGCTTCTATCCATAATGCACTGCCTGCTCCCAAGGTTGCAACAGGGCAACTGTGGAGGCAGCACCCAGCATGGGGGCAGCATGGGGCAGGCAGGGGCGCACCTTATCAGTGTAGTAGGCGCAGAAGTTAAAGGAGGGCGAGAGGCGCTGGTCGAGCAGGCGGCGCACGGCCTCAGAGTAGTGCAGCGTGCGCGCGTCCACACTGGCTCGGATGCACTCCACCACCTTGCCCTCCACCTCCATGTAGTTGGGCTCCGCTGCACTCAGATCCAGCCGCACACACCTGCTCCCACGCTCGCCCCCACCACCACCATGCACCCGGGGGAAGGGGGAGGGGGAGGAAATGAGCATGGGAGTGGGATTTAAGGAGGCGTGCAAGGGTGCAGAGAAGACTCGAGCTGCCAGGGCGAAGCAGGGAGCAGGACTGTGCAGAGAGGGGCATCAGTGAGGGGCATGCAGCGAGGGGGCAGGAGGGGAGGGGCACCTGTCGCGGCGGAAGTGGTCTTCAATGCGCGCAAACACCTTGCGCGCCTGCTTGCCTGCGGGGTCGTTGGGCCCTGCGCGCATCACGTGCACGATCAGCCACTCGCCCTGCTCCGCCTTCACCAGCGCCTGCAGCCGCGCGCGCAGACTCACCCGGTACTCGTCCGGGTCCTGGCGCGCGGGGCACGGGGAGGGGCGGAGGGGGAGAGAGGGGGTGGGGGGAGGGTAGTGCGGAGGAGGTGGAGGGCAGCGCGCAGGACGAGGATGCGCGTGGTGAGAGTGAGAACGATGGAGTGGGGGGGGGCGTTGAATGAAGGTGTGAAGGCAACACACGTGAGCACGGAGAGACATGCCTCATGGACCAGCACGCTGCATGACAACCCGCGTTGCCAGCACGGCGGGGGTCACAACGGGTGCGTGTTGGGCGGGGACGACGCAGAAGGAGGGGCGAGAGAGAGAGAGAGCAGGGGCGGGGGCCGGGGGAGCGGGGGGCGTACATGGCAGGCGAGGAGGACGAGCGTGGCGAAGGGGTGGCGGAACCAGTGCGGGTTGTTCTTGACGGGCGGGCGGCTGCGCAGCTTGGGCTCGGACGTCAGCACGTACTCCAGCGGCAGCCGGTCCAGGTCCACCGCCTTGCGCGCGCGGTTGTGCAGCTGTAGCTTCTTCAGCGGTAGGCGCGACTCGAAGCTCTGGCGCACCGACGGCCACACGTTCCACTCGTCCTCGACTGCCGCGCCACAGTGGCGGGGGATGGGCGGAGGGTGGGGTGGGGGGAGGCGCAAGGGGGTTGGGGGTGAGATCACAGGATGTCATCGAGTAGAACGGCGGGGTGGGGTCGAGGTAGACGCGGGGGAAAAGGCATGGCGCAGGGATGCGCGCGGGATGGACACGAGGCGGAAGCAGGAGAATGGGCGGAAGCAGCAGAAGTGGGTGAGCAGGGCAGTCGCCGCAATGCCCGCGACGAGCGGTGTTCGCCCCGTTGCTAGCGCGCGGCGGCACAAGGTGAGTCGCCTCGCCGCATGCGACGCATGGCGTGGACTAGCAAGAGGAAGGCGCGAGCGTGCGGAGCAGGAGGGGCGTGCGATGATCACTTGCGACGATGATCTTCTCGCCCGACTCCATCGATAGAGCCGACGACTGGTCCTCCGCGTGCGACGCCATGGCCGCCGCGTGGTGGTGACACTACGCCTCGGTAGATGCAGCCCGAAATAGCTAGCTAGAAGGGATCGCCGAAGCGCGCAGCGACATAGCTATTAGGTCCGACGTGCTTTTTCTGGCAATGATGCGAGCAACGACTCACCAACAGCAATCCTGGTCTCGCTACAGCATGCTCTGTTGCTGATCGCAGTAACAGTGCGAGGTGTTATGCCAATAACCGAATTGAAACACGAACCCATCCGTTGCAGTGTGCCTCACTGTAAGGTGTTAATTGCATGACAACGTACTAACCTTTATCGTTTTCCCTGCTGCTGTTTCATCATGTGTAGTGTAGGCTACATTAGCAACAAACCGAGATCCGCTAGCACTTTATTTTACATGGTGCGAAAAAACGTTACAGCATATCTTCCTATCAGCAAGAGCACCTGTGGACAGCCAGCCATGGAAGCTGATATGCAAGCATGTGAGGAGAATTGACAGGCATTGCCCACTGTGACTATGGACAGCGCGGGTTGCCCCATGCCAACTCAAAACACATATTGTACCACCGCCACATCACAGTAGTTAGCAATGATGCTACCGCATTGGCGTTTGGCCGATGCAAGAATGGTAATCAACAGGGATGGGCTTCTCAGGGTTTAGAGTGTCATGCTGCTACCTCTCACCCGCAACACTTGCCACTCGAGCCTTTCAGGGTCTTGCGTGTTAGCGTCTAGCTCGCACCATCTTCTTGCTATACGCCCTCTAACGCCACCGCCCCACGGCCCACTCATCCTGCTCTCCTTGTCTCTACCAGCCATCCCAGCGGCCTCCCCTCCATCCTAAGTCTTGAACCACCCCACACGCCCCACTCTCCTCCCGTAAGCCCTAACCCCGCTCATCTCCAGGTGTCCTTTCATCCCCTGCGCATTTTTTGCGATCCACTACAGACCCTCGCCTTCCCTGTCTTATCTTTCCTCGCCCTCCTCCGTCGCCACGTCAGCAGCCGCCATGGCCAGAAAGTCCTCTGCCGCCTGTCGCACGCTCTTCACCTTCTTCCCCGCCCTCTCCGCCTCGCCCCCACCCACACCTCCCTCCTCCCCCTCTCCCCCCGCCCCTTCCCCGCCACCATCCCCTCCGCGCGGCCGTCGTTTCTTCCCTGCTTCGCGCACCAGCCGCCGTTGCTCGGGTGTCAGGTCCGGGATCGCGTGCACGATGAACCGGTTCGCCGCCGCTACGTTCAGCGACGACGTCGGCGCGCCCACCGCGCCGTCGCCGGCGCCGCCGGCGGTGTCGGCGAGGCGCACCTTGTGGACGTACGAGTCGATGCGCGCCATGTCCTTCGCGACGCCGTGCTCGCTGGGCGCCATCCCGTACGACCGCAGCACGAGGCAGAACAGCGACGCCGCCGCGTGCGCCGTCACCAGATGCGCCTTGGCGCGGTCCATGGGCGCGAGGTCCGCCGCGAGCGCGCGCGACGAGCAGCGGTCGACGATGGGCGTTAGGCTCGTCTCCAGCTGCGACACCGCCGCCTCCGCCGCACCCAAGGCGTCGAGGGCTTGGCGGGAAAGAAGAGTGGAGGAGACGTCGGAAGGTGACGCCATGGCTTATGGCTTCGAGGAGACGGGACTGGGATGGCAACTGTTGGGCACTGGTGGTGTGGAGGCAGCACGTTGTACCGCTCGTTGCAGCAGCAAGGTTTGGGATGATTTGTGCCTGTTAGTAATAAAAACGGTTGCACTGTAGTTATTTCTTGGACAAACGAGAAGCTTTGAACACAAAAGGTCATATATTCGTAATTCTCGATTTGAGCCAGATTTGTTAATATGTTATTGCTCCAAAACCCACACCACAAAAGAAAGCGCCTAGCCCTTTTGAGACACAAACAAGGTCTAGGCATGAAAACAAGCGGGGGACAGAGGGGGGGGGGGGAAGAGGGAAAGAGGGCAGGGAGGGGGTTACACACATGCACACACACGTTGGAAAATTGGAACACATATCTCTTGATTCATCTGTCAGAGCTGGCAAGCTTCATCTACCGTAGGCTGCCACAGTGGCTGTCACCCGCGGCCTTCAAAGATGTCCGGTCGGTGTGCTGCAGCATGCGCACCGCGCTGACGCTGGCGCTGGGAGCGAGGGGAGGTGGACGATGCAGACGGCGTGGCGGGAGCAGTGGAGGCGGGCAGGTTGGAGGCGGGGTTGGTGGCAGGGAAGGCGTCACATGGCGGTACCACAGCCTCTCGAGACACCACCACAGATGGCACCATCACTCCACTCCCACCGCCACTCTTGCTCCCTGCTCCGCCACCCATGCCCTGCCCCACACCACCTTCCCCGCTGCCCTTGTCCGCGGCCACAACCCCACCCACCCTCTGCGTGGCAGCAGCTGCGGCAGCAGCGGCAGCGGCAGCGACAGCAGCGGCGGCGGCAGGAGAGACATCCGAGAGGCGCGGGGGACTGGGGTTGGTCTTTGTAGTGGCCGCAGACAGGGCAGCAGCAGGGGCAGCTGCAGTGACCGGCTTAGAGGCAGAGGCGGCAGGCAGAGAGTGTTGCTTGCTATGCTGCTTCTTGTGGTGGCGCTGCTGTTGCTTGCGGCTGTGCGGCAGTGGCAGGTGGTTGCGTGCAGCGAGAGTGACGCCCACGCCCACGCACACTCCCACTGTCACCATCGCCACCTGTGCGCCCACACCCCCTCCTCTCCCCAGCACCATGCGGAACCCGCCCCAGATGGCCCCTGCGGCGCGCTGGCAGGACGGCAGCAGCACGCGCTGCACAAGAGACCCCAGCAGCGCCGTGGGGCCGGGAGGAGTCGCGGAGGGGCGAGAGGTAGGTGCAGCCATGGCGGCGGCAGCAGACCTGCGTGGCCTGCCTGCTGCTGTTGACATGTATGGGCTTGTGTTGCTCGTCAGCCCACTGCTCCTGCCACCACCACCCGCAGCAGCGGCCGCACTGCAGCACATGCAAGCGGTGCTGCTGTCATCCCCGTGCGTGCCCTGCCAGCTCACCGACCCGCCTCCTCTCACCCCAACTCCCTCACTCCCCCACGACTGCTCCTCCCTCTCACTGCCACTCGCATCACCCCGCATGCACCCCGCACACGTGGCCCCGTGCCCAGTCCCCTCCGACCACCACCCCTCCTCTCCGCTCACCATGGAGCGCACCTGCCTCCCCGCATCACCTCCGTCACTGCCCTGCTGCATGTGCGCCAGTTTACCTCCGCGCGCCTGCCCCGGGCGCATTGCGCCCTTGCCGTGCGCCTGGTCCACCTCGCCGTCGTCGTGCGCGGGCGACGACGTGGACGACGCCGTGCCGAACTGCGCGCCGAGCAGCCGCGACGACGACATGCTCGACGACGAATCCGCCGGCCCGTGCTGCGACTGCTGCCCGCGCCGCTGCTGCTGCTGCTGCTGCTGCTCCGGAATTTGATGCTGAGAGTGCGCGCGTGCCTCCGCGCGCCTGCCCTGCTGCTGCTGCGCCACCGCTTTGGCCTGCGGGGTCGTCTGCTGTTGCGGCGGGTCGTGCGCGGGGCGGCGGGGCGCGGGCAGCGGGGTGGCGAGGGAGGCGGGCGGGTGGTTCTGCAGCTGCTGGTGGTGGAACGTGTGGTACAGCGGCGGCAGGGGGCCGGGCGCCGTGGGGTGCGTGTACGGCGGCAGACTGAGGTCCGTGCGCGGTGCTGACGTGTCGCCAATGAAGCCCAGCAGCTCTTGAACCACCTGCTTGCGGTCACCCCGCGGGGGGAGAAGGGGAAGAGGGGGGGGAAGGGGGAGAGATGGGGAAGGGAGATCGGCGCTGCGCTGACTATGATGCAAAGCACAGCCCAGAGATGCGGATGACGTGCCGCATGCGCCTCCCCCAATGCTCGCAACAGCACTCACGCCACTCCCGCCGCATCCCCGCGCGACCTTGCTTGCGTCTCGCCGCACACACCCAACTCTCCCCTCACCTGCCACTCGCGGCCCTGGTGCGCCAGCAGGTGCTGCAGCAGCTCCTGCCGCTTCGCCTCCACCGCCATCAGCGCCAACTCGCGCTCCGCCGGACTCACGTCCTGCTCCGGACGACGCGGAGAAAGGGAAAGATGAGAGGCCATGTGAGGGACGCACATTGGGCACGGCGAGGGACCGTGGGAGAGAAGAAACGCTGGCCGCGACGAGATGCGCGGGAGAGGAGGCGGAAGGCGGCGCGGAAAGATGGACTCTGAGTTTTAAAGCGCGCGGCACGGAGCGGAAAGGGAGGGCGTACCTGCAGCGATTCCAGGTGCGCCTCGAGCTCCTCCAGCGCGTTGCGAACGGCGACGAGGCTCCGCGCCTCCGCGTTCTTCTCCAGCGCCAACCCCTCGTGGCGCAGCGACGCGCCGTCATGGCGGAGATCCCCGCCGATGGCGCTCATGGGCTGCGGGCCGTCCTCCACCTCCAGTAACGGCGCGTCGCTGCACCACGCAGTACACAGCCCACCGCATCGCACACAGTTGCATCATCATCGCACATGCTCATGTATCGTACATGCTCATGTATCGTACATGAAACACTCAATCGCATGCACGCAGGACGCAGCTGCATAGACTGCACGCTCCCACGTCCCAAATCTCGGGACCAGTGAGGGAATGTCAGAAGCGACTGAAAGAGGAGACAAAGAGGCCACAGTGACATGACAGCATCGTGAAAAGGGCACGAGCGACAGGAGGAATCCTGCACGCTGCAGTGCCCCATCATTGTCGCCATATGGCGTGCAGGGGCGACGACGATCGAATATGGCGTTGCGACGTAAGAAACGGAGGCGTGAGGGAATTAGACGAGCGAGAGCAAGCAGGAAGCCGTGTATCGGCGCGGGCAGCGAGCGAGATGTGGAAGGCACCGTTACCTGCGCCGGTTATTGGCGGAGTAAAAGTCATCGCGAATAGCTCGCTCGATAGCGTTGGTTATTCCTCCATGCAGCTCCGATACGCGCTGCATGACACGCGATAAGTCACTTGATCTCGCACTTCCACCAGCCATGGTGGTTCACACTAATTCTGCCTTGCAATGCGCTGTCCTGTGGACCTCTACCGCTAGCTTCACTACAGCTTCAGACGGAACTGCTTGGGGGAGCGAAGTACAGGGGAGCTCGCGGGGGAAGCGCAGAACCTCTCGGATCCGCCATCCAGCAGTGTGGCGCTGGGGGTTGGGGGTCAAGTTGGTTTTGGCGCTCACACGACGGGCAGGTCTTCCATCCAAACCAGCATTTGCGCACTCCTGCTAAAAAACAACCGCACCTGTTACCCCCCTTAGGTAGGGCAGTGTTGCGAAACCCAGAAAAGCTCTGGCGATGGGTCACGAACGAATGAACCTCATCAACAAGGGCAGGTGCTTTCGAATGTTTTTATTGTGCAGAATGGTGTTGCCCTGGGCTCATGTTGCTTGGAGCGTCGGCATTTGACGAAACCTGCGGGGCAAATCTGACAAGGTTGAGGGCGGGAAGAGTATTTGAACGGGTGTGAATCGCTCGTTGATGGATTTGAATACGAAACAAACGTGTATGATGGGCCGACACGGGTGAGGGCGGGAAGGGAAGAAAACCGTACTATCTGTCCTTGCTGTGCTAGTGCTTGCTGGGGCCGCTTCCCCTTCCCCTCCATCAGTGCCTTGGTTGAGTTTGAGCTTCCTTTGGATCAGTGCTTGGTTGATTGAGCTCACAGCTGCTTTGTGTAGGAGTAAGCTAGTCCATCAGCTTTGATCGGGGTTGAGAAGCCAAACAGAGAGTCAGCAAATGATTATTTTGTCACAGATTAACCCATCATTAAACAGCACGCTCAACAAAATATTTTTTTGACACACTAGGGATCGGGGCAGGAGAGGAATGCTTTCTTGATCCGTTGCTGTATTTTGTACAATTAGGGAACAATAAGCTACTGTCAGCAGTCAGTTTATAGTTAATCTTTATGCCTAAGGAGAGTTAAGAGTTATATGAAGTTAGTAGTATGCTACGGTAGGTATAAGTTGCTATTGTGAAGGCTTTCTGGTCACCACCACTCCTTGCACAACGAGATGGGTTGTCAGGAAAGCAGGGACCAGTTGTGATGCCACCAACACGCCTCCCTCACTTCCACTGCTGCCACCTCCTCCATTCTTCGCACTGTTTGTAAGCCCACTCTTTAAGGCACTTTCTGAAGCTGTGCCAAAAATGCTGAACCCCGCAGTTGCACCTGCACTGGGCTCGCCTGGTAAACCAGTCGGTTCTGTCCAAGTATAGGGTCGCATCAAAGCTGGATCAAATGGGACGTTGGGGGGGATGCGGGAGATGCGGAGAGGACAGCCAAAAGACCACGCGGCTTCGTGCAGGCCGAGCACAGCGCGACACAGGCTGACGAAGTCGGACGACGCCGCAGCGAATTCGTCGCCTTCGTCGCCCAGTAGCGCTGTGGACATGCGCTCGTCTGGCAGCTCGCGGCCCCCCGCCAGCGCCGCTGCCTGCAGCCATTCGCCCAGCTCCTCCAGGCGTCGAGAGCAGAAGTGGGCGAACTTGGCTTCGCGGTTCGCGTCGAAGCTGCCTGCGCGGTCCTTTTCCTTGAGCGCCAGGAATTTGGCAAGCTTCACGGCGCAGCGCTCGTCGTTGCTGAGCAGGCGGCTGAAACCCGCGCGCACAAAGTCCTCCGCCTCGAAGTCCGTGAAGAGCACGCAGCTCGCGATGTTCAGCACGCAGTCCAGCAGCGACGCGCACTCGCTGCGATGCCGCCCCCGCCGCCGACTATGCTGGTAGTTGTGGCAGCTCTCCGCGTCGCTACCCGCCCCACTGCCCTCGTCCGCGTGGTGCGCCGATTTTCCTCCCACCATCTCCAGCACTAAATGGTCAGTTCTATAACCCTGGCGTGAAAGGCGGCGGGACACGTTCCCGCAATAGGCCTCCATGCACTCCGCCACACGATGAACCTGCGACACGAACAGCTCCAATAGCCACGCCTCGTTCGCCTGCCGAGCACCGTCCGCGCAACGCCCTCCCGCGGTAAGCCGAACACCCTCTGGCAGATCTTTCCCCACGCTTGTAGACGACCACCCGAAGTCACACAACGAAACTAGGCTCATCGCACGGGTGGCAAGGGCTGCCGGAGGCGCGTCAACGCTGCTGAGGCCGGCAGCGGCGTCGTCCATGCACGACACCTGCAGCTGCACGAGGGAGTCCGTCAGGCGACGCCGTGTGATGCATAGCTGCGACTGCACCCGCTCCAGCTCCCGGCTTAGCTCGTCCACCTGCTCCCGCAGTGCCTGGCTCTCTTCCCGCCGACTACCGCTACTGCTTCTACTGCTGCTGCTACACCGTCCGCTGGGCCTGCTGCTGTCATTGCTGCTGCCTCTGAAGCTTCCGCTGCTGCTGTTTTGCCCTGACGCCTTGCCCCTTCGTCTACTCCGTCTACGGCTCCTGCCTCTGCTCCGCTGCTCCGCAACCACGATCCCATCGACGCCCTTAACCTCTCCGCTTCGCCCTTTCCGCCCCTCCCTCTCGTCACTGCTCGTGCATCTCTCCGGCTCGTCTGCGTCCCGCACAGTGTCAGTAATGTCGCATCCGCAATGCGGGCACCGCACTGCTCCAGCTAATCCCACACGGTAAACCGCATCGGAGTCTAACGTAGGAGTCATTCTATCTATCGCAAGTGCTGCCGCTGCTGCTCGAGCAGCTAGCTTCTTGGAGAACATCGCTTGGTCCTTAATATGGGCTGTGTGCGCTCCGCCGCCGGGCAGCTCCCCATCGCCATCGTCTCTGAGTGTGCCCACAAGTCCCTCCCATTGGCTGTTCACTGCCTGAAGCTCCTCCGCATGACGCGTCACTATTTGGTTCAAAGTCTCCCTTAGCGCTTGTATTTCTAGCTCCTTCTCTTCCCGCTGCTCTACTAGTATCCGTTGTAAGTACGCTACTTCGCCTTCTAGCTTGGATCTAATGGGCTTCGAGTCCATCGTGGCCATGCCGCCCCGTTGCATGGCCTTAACGCCTTGTGTGCGGGAGAACGTAGTTTGATCCTATAAGCATTGGTTTGCCTCCGCGCATAGGCCGCGACGGTACTAGTGAAAAGCGGTCTACTACTAGACCGTTATCCTAAAGTAGCTGAGCTGTTGCAGCACGCCTGTTGCAACGAAGGCACGGCTACCATGGGCCGAACACAAACGCCAGAATGTAGTGAAGCCAGTGATGTTATTGAGGCATCAGCTCGTCAAGAAGTTCCTTGGCGCCAAATCTGGTGAGTTGCAAAAGGTGTGTGAGACGCCATTGGTCTGGTAGGAGTGGTTGGGGGGTCTGGAGTGGAGAGAGGGTTGTCTCGTGTCAACTGCTCTCTTCAGTTTCGACTTGAGAGACACAGCTGATGTGACGCACACGACATTGGAGGGAATCAAGTCAGGCAGCCGAGTCGCTCACTGTTTCAGTGAGCAGCGCGCTCCGCAATGAATTTCCCACCCACCCGCGATGTTTCTGTACTCGATAGGAGGGTAAGCGATATCAACCTATAAATAGAACCATCCACGGCCTTCGTCGTGCAGGCAATCTTGGCGACATCTGTGTTTGCGACAGACGGATAGCTCAACGGCCTCTGGCAGTGCGTATCGCACTCTGACAGCTCAGCACATTGGGCTCTCCAGGGCGTCCCCGCCGCGCTGGGGGGACCGCTGGGGGACGAGCAATCTCCACAAAGGTGCGTGCAAAGCCCAGGGTAACCTTCGGTGTGACCAGTAGCCCACTTCGCGAAAGCATAAAAGTTGTGTAACCCTTCGCTGCACACGAATTTGGCTGGGGTGGGGCACACATGACAGGACGTTTCTCTGTTTCCCAACGACAGCCGAAACAGAGGGGATTGTTACGGATTCTCTTTTGGCTCTGTGAGGCCCACCCTGGAACTAAAAACAATGCAATTGTCATTTACCTATACTACCCTTTTTGGCCCAACGTCCAATGCATTCGTTTCAAAACCTTTGCCCACGTAATTCAAGGGGCACTTCTCATCATATTGCCCAGCTCATACGTCCGCGCCACCTTCTTCCCTGCTTTCTTGGGCTTGAGGTAGAAGCCTCGAGACAGATCACAAATGAGGTGAACATACTGAGAATGGTCTCCACAATCTAGATTCGCTTATCATCGTCGAGGCGAATCCACATCTCCCAGGCTGCAAGGATAAGCAACGTAGCTTGTATAGAACGTTCAGCGTACGAAATCCTGCGTTTATTAGGAACCGAAGAGTCTCGTTCTGCATTCAGAACTCGTTGCGGCTCAGACAATGGGCTTTACTAGCACATTATAGGTTTTCTGATCTCCGGCCATCGAATCCGTCGCTCGGCAGTGGTGACTTCCTCACATTCGCAAGCATACTCCAATCTGCTCATCTTCAAGAACCCTGCACATGGCCTCGTTTTCTGCAGGGTGGCAGAGTTACAACTTCAAAGCAGGTCTCCGCAGCAGATTCGCCCGCGCGCTCGCTCAAAAGGATTTCAGCAAAGTGTCGAGACCACCAGTGAATGCTGTTCGTCCGAATGCCTCGTTTTCTGAAGGCGTCGCGACTAAAGATGTGAGGATCAACGACAACACCGGTCTGAGCGTTCGAATATTTCTGCCAGCTTGCGCCATTCAACCAGGCAAAATAAATGAATTCGGGTGGATGATGCGTCGCATGGGTACAGCGAGCGAGTGGTTTCCACCGCCCGGCGACGCCAACGAGCAGTTCTGGCAGGGTGCCAACGGCGACGCCGCCGGGGCGGGCAACGGAAACGGAGCGGCGGACGAGGAGCAGGAGGGTGCAGCGGGCAGCGGCGGGCCGTACACTGGGTACGTGCCGAATCCGACGGGCACGAACCACCAACTGCCGGTGATCGTGCAATTCCACGAGGGCGCGTTCGTGACCGGCAGCAAGGACTCCGCCTGCAACGACACCTTCTGCCGACGACTCGCACGGGTACCGCCTTCCGCCCTCACTGCTTCCTCGCTCCTCCGTGACTGTCAGTGCTGCACATGAAGGCCAGTGCGTGTGCCGCTGCCTAGATTCGGGGTAAAGCGTGCTGAGCGGAGGCCACGGGATCTGTCCGCACGCGCCAGCGAACAGACATGCCTCACGACCTAACCACGCGAATTCAAGTTTCTCATTTTCCACCCTGATCGTCTCAGTCCATGCCGTAGCCCGGATCCCTCGTCTTGCATCTCATTCGCTTCAAATCTCATTTTCTGCTTCCCCCCAACTCTCTGGCCTCGCCTCTCCGCGCGGCGGGCGCGTGCGCGCGCAGGTGTGCAACGCGATCGTGGTGGCGGTGGGGTACCGGCTAGCGCCAGAGCACAAGTGCCCGGCGGCGTACGACGATGGGTACGAGGTGCTCAAGTGGCTGTCGCGACAGGCCATCCTCGCTGACGCCGAGGCCGACGTGCGCTCCTCGCACGCGCAGGTGACCGGGGGAAGGGGTGAGAGTGTGGGTGTGTGCATGGAACGTGTGGGCTTATGGCGCGTGTCTGAAAGCCGAGGGAGGTCGATGAGAGGAAGTGGGAAGTGGCAGCTTCTGCTCACGTCAAATGCCATGACATTATCTTCACTCCTTCCCTTTTTTTTGAGAGGTATCCATCTCACTTCGCCGCCACCCCGCCCCCGTTTGTCCTCTCCCTCCCTCATGCGCGGTTGTTGACTGCCTCATGTGGGTGCACGCATGCGCGTGTGGGTGGGGGAATGTTGGGGTGTGTGCCTGCATTGTGCTCCGGCACGCCTCTCCGTGTGTGTGTGTGTGCATGCGTACGTGTGTGCAGCAGGGCGGGGAAGTGGGAGCGGGCGATGAGATGAGGGGGTTGACAACGCGGCTGGTGCAGGAGCTACCAGACCCGTGGCTCGCCGCACATGCTGATGTGCACAGGTGCGCGCCAGCATGTGCATCGACCCACCAAGCGACTCATTTCATCCGTTCTCGTGTAACCTCTCGTTTTCTCCTCAACACCACGCACACCTCTCGTTCAACGCCCGTTATTCGCCACCACATATGGATCATGCATGGCCTCGCGTCATTGCTCAGCTTCTTGTGCCTTCCACCCGTCTGCCCCCTCCTCAGGTGCATTCTCCTGGGTGTGAGTGCGGGTGCCAACGTGGCAGACCAGGTGGCACGGCGCTGTGTCACACCGCACGGGGTGAACGAGCTGCAGCCACTCGTGGTGCTCGGGCAGGTAGGAGGACCAGTGTGTGCACAGGCCAGGGACAGATGGGCTTGGTAACGCAGGCACACTCTGGGCGGATGCTGTTGCCTTCACCTCCGTGCCACACTAATGTTACCATTTCCCCCCTGCCACCTGTCCCATGTGGCGTCGTGCAGGTGCAGCTGTACCCTCTGTTTGCGGGGTCCATGCCGACGCCAAGCGAGATGAAGGCGCGAGACGCCTACTTCTTTGACAAGCCCACGTGCGAGCTGGTGTTCCGCCTCTTCCTGCCCGACGATGACTTCTCCCTGGACCACCCGGCGGTGAACCCGCTGCTGCGGGAGCACCTGCCTCCGGGCATGCCGCCGACGCTGCTGGTGGTGGCGGACCACGACATCCTCACCGACCGCGCCATCGCCTACTCTGTCTTCCTCAAAAACTTCGGCATCGACGTGCAGGTGGGCGCTGCTCCGCATGCATGACATGGGAATGTTGTTGGGGTGGGAAGGGGGGAAGGGGGGAAGAGGGGAGGTGGGGGAAGAGGGGAAGACGAAGCGGGTGGTGGGTGTGGATGTAGGGGGGAGGGGTTGTGCGGGCATCTGCGGTGTGTGTGGCCTTGTAGCAGCATGTGGGCTGATGTTCTAGTGCAAAGCTGCTTGCTGGCCATGCTTGATTCCAGCATTCAATGGTGCCCGGTGCTGCTGCTGCGGTGTGCTGTACATGTGTGTGTGATGCAGGTGAACAGCTACAAGGACGTGGTGCATGGGTTTGCAACATACGAGGGCATGGTGAACACGCCACAGGCAGAGGCATGTGCAGAGGACATAGCGATGTGGATCACCAAGCACGTCTCCACGCGCTCCGATGCTACGGAGATGTCGTACTGAAACCACTCAGCCACACTGTACCATGCCTCCCTGCTCCACATCCCTGCATCCTTCTCAACTCACACCCTCCACCCCCTTCGCCTGCCCATTGTCCTCCCAGTTCTCACCTACCCTGCAAGGCTGCATTTCTAATCTCTCCTGCTCCGCATGTTCCAATATGCACACCTACACTCACGCACTTAAGTCGTCCAACTGATTAGTATGTCAGCTTCTAGTGTTCGTCCAACTGAGTTGTGGGGCCCACCTGGTCCTGTACAGCAAGGGACACTGTGTTGCTGCCTTGTGGGCTGCCACGCCTGCACTTATACGGAAGTCGTCATGGTCATGCCATGTGTGTTGTTTGTGTTCGCTCGGTCATGTGGAAAGATCAGAAGCATCACTTCTTGCTCTAGATCCCACAGGGCGTATCGTACTGACCGATGGAGCTTTATGAGCAAAGCAACTGATGGTGAAAGGGATTGTGCTAAATGATAATGTCCGTCCACCAATCATTTGGTAGTTTGAGAATGTAGGACAGCAGGGTTTTCACAAATGTGAGAGCGGTTAGGCCCATGTCTAGTTGATCAGGATGCTGAAAGATTTTAGATACGTATAATATATAGCATCATAAGATTGTTACAAATATTGAAATTGCTTGCGCTGACAAGTGTCGAGCAGAACGACCATACTTTGAGATGAGGTGCTCTGACGTGGTCGTATTTTTGCTGTCCACATGGCATCCTCAATCCACCTGGCCACTCTTGTTCGCTCCAAAAAAATTGCTTCGCGTGCACAAGACGTCGTTCCACCGTACGATGTCATCGCTACGTCAATCACTCCGACCATCACCGTCCATACCGCACCCCCAGATCGATGCTGCCGATCGAATCCAAGGTTGGAGGTGCTGCAGGTCTGCCCGCGCGCAGTGCAGCAGAGCACGCACGGCTCAGCAGCAGCACACGGGGTGCATGCTCTCCCATCACGTCGTCCTTGTTGCTTGCTTCTCCGCTCACGCCTCCTCTCACTGTCATCCCCATTTTATCGCGTGGCGGGAATGCGCTATCTGCTTCCGTCATCAATTCCGTCACCACGATAGTCCACGGGGAGTGCGTCGACCACGCGAATGGCTGCTTCGACTATGCGATACCGTCTCTAAGTCGCGGGTCGTCTGAGTAACCCAAGGCATCTCGCCGCACTTGGAGGTGTTCGAGCTCAAGTCTAAATGATTCAGCTGGGTCTATTTGAGGAGGCTACCTGCCGCATCCCGGTCATCTCACCTGGTGTGCCAGCGCGCATACGCGGGGTCGCTGTAAATATTAGGATCCCGGCCTTCTCTCGTCTGTCGGCTTCGAGGCACGTCCTACGGAGTGGTTCAACGGCGAGGTCGCCGTTTACGTGCCCACGGCATGGGTCGTCCGGGAGTTGTTGCTGCACACGGAAGTTAACAGCCAGGGCCTTCCACCGTTCTAAGGAGGAGGCGGAGGCTAGCTTTGAGGACAGCAAGAGTCTGTTGGACGCAGCACTTAGCGGCGAGAAGCAAGCGGACCCATGTGACAGACCGTTGTCCGCCATTCCCCTTGACCGGACCGAGACCTCGCGTAGAGCAGGGAACAGTAGTCACAGACCTATCGCCCGATTTCCCAGCCACGCACATACACTGTTTCCTGCCTTCTTTCCTCTCTTCCTTACTCCCCAGCTTAGGTCATCAGTAGCGTCCGCGGTCTCCCCCAGGACGGGAACTATTACCAGCGATCAGGCCCCTTTGAACCAGTTGCATTCTGTGCCGCTCATTTTGGGATTCAAGGGCCTTGAGCCTGGTGACTCAACCAGGAGGACCGGAGAAGAGCCTTGCTCGTCGCCGAAGCTGGTTCCAGGTACTCCGGGCCCAGGCTTGTCCACGTGGACAGGAGCTGTGGGCCTTCTGTCCGTCTTATCTGGCCAGCTAACTGGGAACTTCTACCGTCTTATTGGCGCCAGTGCGTCCGTTTCCACGCCCACCGTCACCCGCTTGCCTCTCGCGCGCCCGTCGCCGCCCTCCAAGGTCAGGTTCATGGACACGGGAGCTTCTCCCCCCGCGACAGTCACGGCGGCCGATATTGGCGATGCGGACCGGCTACAGGAGTGGTTGGAGGCGCGGTTGCCGGGCGGCAAGGCGGTGCTGGAGCGGTGGGGCAGTGAGCGGGGCACGAAGCGCGTGGCGAATCTGTGGCAGGAGCTGGTTGACGGTGAGGTGTGCCTCGTGGACTCGCGCCCGCCGCTGCGCAAGGTGAGCGTGGCGAGCGTGCACGTGCGGCACGCGCGTACGGGCAAGGTGCTGCTGGAGGCGATGCAGGAGATGGGGGACGGAACGGTGCGCGCGAGGAACCGCCCGCTGTCGGAGAAGATGCGGCCCGCGGAGAACCCCCTGGACGCGTGCCGGCGCGGTATTCTCGAGGAGCTGGGCGAGGACCTCGGGGCGAGCCACCGCGTGTCGGTGCTGGCGGACACGCTGCGGCGGCAGGTGGAGGAGCGCGAGTCGTTCTCGTACCCCGGGCTGCGGTCGCAGTACGAGATTCACGTGGTGGAGGCCGTGGTGGAGGGCCTGCCGGAGGCGAGCTTCTGTACTGTGGAGAACGAGGGGCAGGCGAAGAGCAGCAGTAAGGGGCACCGGTGCGCTGCTGTCAGCGGCGAGGGGCCCTGCATGTGGGCTGGCAGTGACAGCGGCGAGCCTAGGCCCAGGCCGTGCGGGCGTGGGGCAGGAGCAGGTGCAGGGGGCATGAGCAAGGGGGCTGCAGGGCAGGGGGTGAATGGAGGGGTTTGTTCCAGTGAGGGCGAGGGGCTGGGCAGTGGAAGTGATGGTGAGCAGCGTGTGCTGGGCGTGAAGAGGCACTTCTGGGTGTGGACGGACACAAGGTGACAGCCATGCTATGTCATGCCATGCCATGCCATGCCATGCCATGCCATGCATTGTGTACAGAGTTTTCCTTTCTTTCTAGGCTGGTCTTTGTAGTCCCTCTGCCTGATAATGCTTTGTTTTGCACTACATCAATATGTACTGTAGCTGCCTCTGCTGACAGTTGTGTTTTCTGTGGATTCAAGTACGGTAAACCTGCTTCCTGCACAGTTATAGAGCCAGAGCAGAGCTAGAAGAGAGGGCAGTTATAGAGCCAGAGCAGAGCTAGAAGAGAGGGCTTTGCACTACTGTAGAAACCATGTCACTAATTACACACAACCATCTGAAAATGAATGGGGTGGTAGGTATCATTTGACGTGGTGGTCAAGCAAGGCAGGTCCACATACCACCGCACACAGGGCAGCCCTGCGACCAGCGTGCAGGCCACCACTCAGAAGCCAGGCTGCTGCCTGCACTGCCTATTCCTGCTGCCCCGCCCCCCTCCCCAGCACCATTGCTCCCCGCCCCTGCTGTTCCTGCCTGTGCGTGCACGGACTGAGGCACTGCCATGGTGGTTGTCTGCCGCCCACACCGCACACACTGCCAGGGGCGAGCAAGGGAGAGGCACACAGGGATGCATGGCAACAGAAGGCCAGCAAGGTGGAGTAATGTGGGCAGATGAGGAGAGGGAGAGGTGTAAGGTCCAGCAGCAGGGAGCGGTGGTGTGCGGTGCAGGGGCCCCATGGCTCACCTTGTACCATTGTGCAGTACCGCCCCAGCGCCATGTGCTGGCCACCACGTCCCTGCGCCCGCCCTGCAGCCCCAGGAAGCCCCCCAGCCCCGCACTGCACGCCAGCCCCACTGCCGCATCCCTCTCCGCTGCCCGCCGCTTCCGTGGCCACACTCCCACTCGCCCTGCCCCCGCCCCGCCTGCCAGCAGCGACGCCTCCCTGCCCCACACGCCCCCCTCCATGCTCCTCCCCCTCATGCCCCGCCTCCTCCTCGCTCCCTCCGCCACCCTCCACGCCCTCGCCATTCTCCTCCTCCCCATCGCACCCCATACCTCTCTCCCAACCCGCTTCCTCACCCGCCTGTCCTCTCTCCACCCATCCTCTCGCTCGCTCCCTGCCCTCTCGTCCCCACCCCCCTCGCCCGCACGACCCTGCACCCTCCTCCGCTTGCCATGTCTGCTATACCCAGAGGGACTCGCTCCCCTCTTGCCATGCGCCCCTGCACCATCCCCATGCACCCTCCACTCTCCTCCCCTCTCCCTCCACCCCTCCTCCTCCTCATCCCCCTCTTCTCCCTCGTCGTCCTCCTCCTCCCCCTCCCACATGTCGTCCTCCCCCTCCTCTCCCCCCTCATCCTCATCATCCTCCCACAAGTCCCTCTCGCCGCCTGCCAGCTGAGTGCAGGGCGGCACGGAGGCCCAGGGGGGCGGCAGGGAGGGGCGGGGGAGGGTGTCCTCGGCGGGCGCATGCAGCTCCAGCTCGCGCATCAGCAGCGCCGCTGCATCCGCTCCCCGTGGCCGCGGCAACGACTGGTGCAGAGGGGGCGACAGGGGGTGGGGAGGGGTGGGGGGGATGAGGGGAGAGACGGTGGGTGTGGGTGGGGAAAGGTGTCTAGAAAGCGATGGTGAAGTGCAGAGAGAGCAAGCAGTGAGAAAGTGGATAGCAGGGAGTCGTGGGTGACAAGGATTGGCGTGTGGGGGGGGAGAAGGCCCGGAGGCGAGGGCAGTGTGAGAGAGAGCATGCAAAAGCAGGAGAGCATGGGAGGAGGAGGGAGGACGTGCACCTGCATCTGCGGAGAGAGCCAGGCCTCTATGGCCTCAGGAGGCACGGAGATAGAGCCCTGTGGGTAATGCAGCCGCGCCACCATGCCACTCCCACTGCTGCCTCCCCCCCCTCCACTGCCTCCCGCCGCCCCCCCACCGCTGCTGCCTGCTGTGGCTGCAGCTGTGCCAGGTGTGGGAGCAGCGGGCACGTGGGTGGGCGGCATGGTGGCGGGCAGTGGTGCTGTCTTCTTGCAGAGCTCCGAGCACACCACAAACAGTGCCTTCACCTGCTCACACACACAAGGAGGAGGAGGAGAGAGATGGGGGGAAGGAGCAGCATTGACGCATTTCCCACATGCTCACCTCATTCCAACACACCTTGTAATGCTCCTTGCAGCATCCTCTTCACCCTTACACCCATCCACTCCACCCCACCTGTTGCTCTGACTCTCCCCTTCCTCCCTGCGCACTCACCTCCTCCGGGGTGTACCCCAGCCCGCCATTGCCATGCCCCAGCCGCACGTGCCGGTCCTCCATCGACCGCCCCAGCCCTGCCCGCATGCCCCCCCCTGCGCCCTCCGCGCCCCCTCCCACCCCCACGCCCATCCCTCCGGCAGCGCCGGCAGCGGCGCCGGCCTTAGAGGCGAAGGGGGGCGGGCTGCGGCGGCGGAAGACAAGGCAGAAGAACATGAGCTGGCACAGGCGGTGCAGGAAATGTGGGTCCGCTAGCAACCGCACTGCTGGCAGCCCCGAGAAGGCCGAGGGGGACGCCGACGGCAGGTGAGGCGCCGCTGCAGGGGGGTGTGCAGCACCTGCTGCTGGGGCGCCCGCTGATGCTCCTGCTGATGCTCCTGCTGATGCAGATGTTGCTGCGCCGGCACTACCAGCACTGGCAGCGGCAGCAGCGGATCCAGAAGCGGTAGCTGCAGTGGGTGCTGTGGCAGGTGCGGCAGTTGGTGGCGCAGCAGCGGGCGGGGGGGCGGGGGCAGAGGAGGCGGAGGCGTGTGCGTGGGCGGTGAGGGTCTTGAAGAATGAGAAGTAGCGGCGCAGGCGCGTGAGGAAGTGCGATACCAGGTCCAACACCGAATCCACGTACGCCTGCATGGGGAGAGGAGGGCAGGCGAGGCGAGGAGAGGGCCATGGGCGAGGGTTGCTGATTGGTGGAACACATGAATGTGCATGTGGGTCAGGAGGTCGGGGATGTGGAAAGCACATGGCGCCACACAGAGCATGGCATGAGACGGCATGGCAAGAGTGTGACGAGGTGAGAGCCTTACATGGATGGTGGGGATGAGCGCAGGGTCGACGGACATGGCATCGTTGCCGAGCTGGGAGAAGGTCTCAGCGGACGCCGTCCAGGGCGAGGGGATGAGCGTGGCGGGGTTCACGAGCGCCGACTCTATGGCGCCCCCCAGCACCTCCAGCAGCACGCGCGCCTGCACGTCCAGCATCACTGCCCGCACGTCCGCTCCCCCCACGCCCTCCAACACGCGGCACTTGAGACGGTCCAGCTCCTGGTGGGTGCAGTTGGGAGGCATGCATGTGGTGATGGCGCAGGGAAAAGGGGAAGGCGGGGTTTGCGTGAGGGTGGGTTGATGGGACGGGGTGCACGGGTGATGGTGGCTCAATGGACGAGGGATGGAAACTGAGGATGCGAAATAGATAGCAGCACAAGGAGATAACGAGGCAAGGATGGAAAGGGAGAGGGTGAAAGATGTGGGGAAGTGTGGTGGGGGCGTGGAGGGCGGGAGAGGGGGGGTGCTGACAGTGAAGTAGTGCAGGCGCAGCGAGGCATCGGGCAGTGCGTGGAAGTCCGCGTCCAGATGGGCCAGCAGCGACGTGCTGCGCACTGCACCACACCACACCGCACCGCACAGCACAGCACAGCACAGCACAGCATATGTGAAGGAACGGGACGGGCACATGGTGAGACAAGCATTTGGGCAGAGACATGTGGCGATCATGGCAAGCAGCTTGGTGGTGAATTGAATAGCCCACCTGGCGATTGCGGTGCGCCTGCAGTGGCAGAGGCGGCAGCATCCCACCACGACACGCCACTCACCCACGCCCACTGCACTCTGATAGGCTCACACGGCAATGGGAAGGCACGCAGCGAGGGAGAGGGATTGGGAACGGTGCAGAGGAGCTACAGCATGCAGCAACACACGCACATAGGCATCCCTGCCTCACCTGTCAGCCACATGTCGCTCCCATGATGCAACCCCCTCTCGCCCCTCCCTCCCTGCCTTCCTCTCCTTCGCCACACCCTCCCCTCCCACTTGTCCGTCCGCTGCCCCATTCTCCCCCATGGCATCTGCGCGACTGGCCTCCACCGCCACACCAGCAGGTGGCACCTGCTGTGAGGGCGCACGAGTGTCAGTGGCAGGGAGGGCAGCAATGGGCGCGAGGGGCACGTGGGGCACCTGGGATATGCGCACTGACACGTGGTGCTGCTGCAGGGGGATGGTCCACGCCGTGGCGATGCAGCACGCCGAGGGAGAGAAGGCGAGCGGGGGAGGCGTGGAGAGCGGGAGGGGGGAGTGCGGTGGGGGGTGCACAACGGCGAGCAGGTGGAGGGAGGGGTTGGCGAGGAGAATGATGGCGGAGCAGGGCACGTGAGAGGAGGAGGGCATGGAGGGGGGGAACGTGGAGGGTAAGGTGGGAGGTGGAAGAGGGTCGTTAGGCGAGGCAGTGATGTGTGCATGGCCAGTAGCACCGGTGACAGCAGCGGGTGCAGCGGCATCATGCGAGGCAGCAGCACCATCAATTGAAACGCCATCAACCGCAGCACTAGTGCCATCTACATGCTGCTGCATTTGAGGTGTGAACGCGCTGTGCCAGCTCACTGCGAGCTCGGCGCCTGTGGGAGAGAGCTGGAGAGCAATGGCAGGCATGGCGTGAGAGGGCGTGGGGGCTGGAACAAGGGCAGGCGAGGCGGCAGGCAGCGCAGTAGTGACTGGGGACGCCGATGATGAGGGTGTGGGGGCGGCAGCAGCAGTGCTCCCTGTGGGTGCCGCATAGGCAGGCACCCTGGCAGGGCGGTGAGGGGCGGCGGGCAGCAGGGCAAGGTCGGGGGAGGAGGAGGCGAGGTGCCAGGTGAAGGTCTGGGGGCAGGGAATGGCGGAGTGCGGTGCAGGTGCGGCGTGGGCGGCAGCTAGGGCGTCGAAGATGGGGTGCACTGGGGGAGGCGCTGACTGCTGGCGCAGGTGCCAGCGCTGCACAGTGAGAGAGAGCGTGCAGAGCGCAGAGGGAGGCGTGCTGGTGGGCGCTGCATGGACTGATGCCCGTGCATGCAGCGACGAGCCGTGCACTTGCTTGGCTGCACCCGTACCGGAAGGGGTGAGGCAGGGAAAGCGGTGGGGGTTGATGAGTGAGGGAGTGTGGGTTGAGAGAGGCTGTGCATGGAGGGGTTGTGGCGGCATGAATAGAGTGAGTGAGTCAGGCAGGCAGTGCGGACACGAGAGGAACGATGGCAGCAGGGCAGTTGGGTGAGGGAGAGCAGGGTGAAGAGTGAGGAGAAGGGAAGCACTCACCAACGCCCACTGCCACAATCACCGTTGCCACACAGTCCCCTTCCTCCTTGCCGCCTCCCCCATTGTTATCCACCAACACTGCCAACACCTCCCTCCTCTCTCTCCCACTCTCCTCCCCTCCACCACTCTCCCCAACTGCCATTAACCCCTTCCCCCCCACTCCCAGTTCCGCCACCAACCTGCCCTCCAGCCACACCCCTCCCCCGTCCCTCTCCCCATCCCCCATCCCTTTCCCCCCCAATCCCCCGGCCTGCGCCCCCCTGAGCAGCAAAGCTGCAGCGATGGGGTTCAGGGCTGGGGACGAGAAGGGGGAGGGGGAGAAAATGCTGATGGGGGAGGCGAGGGGAGCGGAGGAGGGGGAAGGGGGAGTGTGGATATGGAAGAGAAGGCAGGAGGAGGGTGCGGCGCAGGGGACGAGAGCGAGGGTGAGGGAGTGGGAGGGGCCTGCAATGCTGACATGCGCTGAAAGCACCCCGCCGGGGGGCAGGGGGAGAGAGGCGGGGGGGGAGGAGAGCCAGAGGGGCTGGGGGGAGGCGGGGGGAGGGGAGGGGGACGGGGCGGAGGAGGAGAGGGAGGCAGAGGAAGGGAGTCCTGGGTGGGGTGTCTGTGGTGTCTGTGCACTGTGGGTGGGTGGCGAGGAGGAGGAGGAGGAAGGGGGGAGGTGCGAGGTGGAGCGCCAGAGCAGCAGCAGCGTGTTGGGCTGCAGCACGAGCGCCATGCACGGCAGAGAGCAGCGCGGCCAGTGCGCTGATGGGAGGAAGAGAGGGGCGCAGAGGAAAGGACCGGGTGAGAGATGGAAGGGGAGTGAGGGGAGAGATGGAAATGTGGGATACACAAGGAAAAGTGGGGCCTGCTGATCCACGAGAAGCCACGTGACAACATGGCATGCAGCAAGGGCATTGGCAAGTGCTGAGGAGGGAGGGTGGTAGGGCAGGCAGGAGCAGGCATGGCGGTGTACCGGGGGAGAGGGCACGGGGCTGGAAGAAGCGGTCGTGGAAGGACCCTGGCTGCACTGATGCTGGCGCCTGCAGTGGCGGCCACGTGTACTGTTTTCATTGGGTCGTGGCAGGGTAGGTGGCACGCAAAGGGAAGGAAGAGGTTATTGGGGGGCGAGCGAGGGGGTTGTTTGCTCGGCGAGAGCGATGACACAAGGCAATGAAGGCTCCCTGCTTCTCCACCCCTGCCTTCCCATCCACCCACTCCATCACACGCTTGCTCTCCCTGAACAACCCACTCCTCCCAATCACTTCCTCCATTCCCCCATTCCGTCAACCCCCTCCCCTTCCCCCCAGTGGTCGTACGAGGGGCGGGGCGGAGAGCCATTGCATGGCAGCGACGGGCGCGTCCAGGTGCCAGTGCGCCTGCGCTTCCCACCGGTTCACACACCGTGCCACGTTTGCCGCTCCCTGCCGCACGCAGCACAGGCGGGATGAGCACGGGGGGTGGGCAGGGGTGCAGCCGGGGCAAGGGAGGGGGAGACGAGAGGGATGGGAGGGATGGGAGAGATGAGCAAGGCAGAAGCCGTCCAGAGGCGTGCATGGCGTGTGTGAGACGGGTAATATGGTAGCGCCACAGAGCCATGCGTGCATGCGCGTTTGTGGGTGACCACGGCATGGAAGGGCGTGTGTGTGTGTGTGTGTGTGTGTGTGTGTGTGTGTGTGTGTGTGTGCGTGTGCGTGTGCGTGTGCGTGTGCGTGTGCGTGTGCGTGTGCGTGTGCGTGTGCGTGTGCGTGTGCGTGTGCGTGTGCGTGTGCGTGTGCGTGTGCGTGTGCGTGTGCGTGTGCGTGTGCGTGTGCGTGTGCGTGTGCGTGTGCGTGTGCGTGTGCGTGTGCGTGTGCGTGTGCGTGTGCGTGTGCGTGTGCGTGTGCGTGTGCGTGTGCGTGTGCGTGTGTGTGTGTGTGTGTGTGTGTGTGTGTGTGTGTGTGTGGCTGCGACAGTGACGTACCGTGCAAGGCTGCGCCCACACGGACACATGCGAGGGTGCAGAGAGCACAGCGAGTGCACGGTCGCACGAGGGGGGCGACCATGCCACTGCTGTCACCTCACGCCCCGGCATGTCTGGCACGATGGAGGGTGGGGGGTGGGGCCGTGTGGGGTGGAAGGGAGGAAAGAAGGGAGTGGCGGGAACAGATGTGGGGTGGGCATGAGGAGGCACAGGAGATGCAAGAGGCATGCACGGGTTGGATGCACGGGGAGACAGTGGCTCATGCATGCTGCATGGCGTATGGTGGGAAGGGAAGGTGAGGGTGAGAGGCATGGATGATGGCAGGAAAGCATGAGCAGTGACATGTGACATGGAACCCCACACAGCACAGCATGTGCGCACAGCCGCAGGCGGAGAGGCAGGGCGGCAAGGCAAGTGGCTGTGCTGTGCAGGCAAGAGGCGACAAGACATGTGCAATGCAGCAAGTCAGCCAGGCGTGGGAGAGGGAGAGGCGTGGTGCGAGGTGGGGGGCGGGGTGGGGCCCTGACCTGCGGGGAGCTTGAGCATGCAGTGGTGCAGCGGGCGGTCAGGGTCCAGTAGGGCCACCGGCACAAACGCTGGTGGCGCTCCTGGTGGGGCTCTGGGGACGGACAGGGGGAGGCAGGGGGGCGAGGGGAGGCAGGGGGAAGAGGGGAGGGAGAGGGAAGAGAGGTTGAGAGATGAGAAAAGGAACAGTGGAGGGGAATGGAGAGGCGAAGAGTGCGTGGAGTGTGAGGGGAGAGGGATATGGCGAGGTGAACGGGTGAGGGGTGATGCAGCATTTACTTGATGTTGGGCTGTGCAGGTGCCGTTGGGAAGGCAATGAGGTTGGACTTGGGACACCATGCCATGAGGCTGCTCACACCGCACATGCACACACACACACACACACACACACACACACACACACACACACACACGCACATGCGCACACACACACACGCACATGCGCACACACACGCACATTTGCACACACACAAGAGAGACAAGGGAAGCAAGGAATTTTACAGCGAGAGAAGTGGGAGATGGGTGAAGTGCAAGGCACGGACGCATGGTGGAGGGTCGTGAGCGAGCAGCATTGGGGAACGGGAGGGAGGTTGGGAGGGAGCAGTGTGCATGGAGGATTGGGGGTGGCTGTACCATGTGAAGGTGGAGCGTTGCACGTTGTCCCCCCATTGCAGCACAGCACCACCTCCCGTGTGTGCTGAGGCCCGGCGAGTGCGTGCATGGGCAGCCAGCAGCGAGGGCACACTGAGAGCTATCTCCACCACCACTGCATCCGCCTCCGACCCCGCCTGCTCTTCCTCCTCCTTCTCCCCCTCCTGCTGCTGCTCTTTCGCCTCCTCCTTCTCCTCCTTTTCCTCCTCTTCCTTTTCCTCCTTGTCCTCCTTCTCCTCCTCCTCCTCCTTCTCATCTTTCTCCCCTTTCTCGTCGTTCTCCTCCTCCTTCACCTCCAATTTCTCCTTCTCCTCCTTCACCTCCTCTTTCTCCTTCACCTCCTCTTTCTCCTTCTCCTCCTCCTTCACCTCCTCTTTCTCCTTCTCCTCCTCCTTCACCTCCTCTTTCTCCTTCTCCTGCTCCTTCACCTCAGCCTTCTTCTCCTTCTCCTCCTCCTCCTTTTCTTTTCCCCGATCGCCGTTCCCTGTCTCCACCATCGCTGTCTGCTCGTCCTTCTCTGCACTCACTTGGGTGTTGTGCCCATCCGTCCCTGCACGCCCCTCAGGTGCGTCTGCCCCTTCCACCCCATCCATCTGTGCAACACCACACACCCCTGCATCCTCCTCTTCTTGTCGCTCTTTTGGCTCCTCCTCTTGCTGCTGTTCTTCCTGTTTCTGCAACACTGGCTTTTCTTTCTCCTCTTGTTGCTTTTCTTGTTGCTCCAGAAGTTCCTGCTTCTTATCCTCTTGCTGCTTTTCCTGTGGCTGCGATGGTTGCCCTTGTGTCTGCTGCTGCAACGCTTGCTGTTCCTTCTCTTCTTGCGGCTGTGCAGGCTGTGTCTGCTGCGGTTGTTGCCCATCTGCTTGCTTCTCAGCTGCTGCCACCTGCTCCGCCCCTCCTTTCTCCGCCTGCACCTGCACCCCACCCTCCTGCATCTGCTTCGCTCCAGCCTCATGCATTGCGCTCTGCTGCCCTACTTGCCCATCTCCCTGAATTGCTGCCTCGTCTGGAGATGCCACGGCCAGTGGGGCACTCACCTCATGCACCGCACCTGCCTGCTCCACCGCACCCCCACCAAGCATCTCCACTGCCGCCTCTACTGCTGTCCTTCCCTCCTCCACCTGCAACTGTGTGTCTGTTTGCCCAAGCAGCACCACACCAGCGACCTTCCCCGCTCCCTGCTCCTGACTCCTCCCCTCACCCACGCCACCCGCATCACCACCCTCCTTCACACGCGTGCCCACCTCACCCCCTCCCCCGTGCGCGCTATCCCCTGCTGCCTCACGCACACCACTGCCTTCCCCAACGTGCGCCTCACGCGGCCCAGCATCCGTGCTCTGCCCCTGCACTCCCACCGCCTCCCCTCCCGCCGCCACCTTCGCCTGCTCTTCCTCCCCCTTGCCCTCCTCTTCCCTCTTGCCCTCTTTTTGCCCCTTAGCCTCCTCTTTCCCCTTGCCCTCCCCTTCCCCCTTGCCCTCCCCTTCCCCCTTACCCTCCCGTTCCCCCTTACCCTCCCCTTCCCCCTTGCCCTCGCCTTCCCCCTTGCCCTCCTCACTCCCCTTCCCCTCCTCACCCGCCTTGCCTTCCTCACCCCGTTTTCCCTCCTCAACCCCCTTGCCCTGCTCAGCCCCTTTTCCCTCCTCACCTCCTTTTCCCTCCTCACCCTCTTTTCCCTCCTCACCTCCTTTTCCCTCCTCACCCTCTTTTCCCCCCTCACCTCCTTTTCCCTCCTCACCCCCTTTTCCCTCCTCACCCCCTTTTTTCTCCTCACCCCCCTTACTCTCCTCACCTCCCTTGTGCGTCGCCCCACCACGGCCACCACCCTCGCCTGTGCCACCATCTGCTACCACGCCACGCTCCTCGCCCCCGCCCTCCTCACCCGTCTCGCCCTGCCTTGCACCCTCGGGGCCTGCCTCACACGCCCCTGCGCCCTCCACGCCTGCCAGCCCGCTCGCCATGCTCTTTGCCTCGCCTCCCTCAACCTTCTCTCCCTGCTCTGCCCCTGCACCCTCACTCGCTCCCTGCTCCATGCCTGCTACGCCACTCGCCTCACCCCCGTCACCACCCTCCTTCCCCACAGCATCTGCGTCTCCGTCGTCCGCCTTCCCCATCTCCTTGTCAACCCCGTCCTTCTCCTCACCCGTTTCCTTCTCAGGCCCTGCCACCTCTTTCCTCTCGTCACACGCGCTTCCCACCTTCCCCTCGCCCTCCATCGTCCCTGCACCCAAACTGACCTCCCTCTCTACACCTCCCGTCTGCTTCTCCTCCTCGCTCCCCTCTGCCACGCCTGCACCACTCTCCTCATTACCGCCCGTATCACCGCCCCCCTCCGCCCCACCACCCTCTGCCAATCCCACCTCGCCCTTCCCCTCCACTGCACCCCCCTCCGTTTTCCCCTCTCCCTCCCCATCCGTCCCACCACCCTCACCCCCCTGCACCGCCCCCTCACCACCCTCTTTGTCCGCACCGACATCCTTCCCATCGCCTCCCTCCCCCTCTGGCCCCCCACCAGCCGCTTGCAGCCCCGCTCTCGCCGCATGCCCCTCTGCATCCACTCCCTCCTCACTCACCCCACCCACCCTATCCCCTGCACTCACCATTTCCCCGCCCTCTGCCTCCGCCCTCCCCTCCGCCCCCGCCCCCGCCCCCGCCTCTGCTCCCCCCCCCGCCCCTCCCACAGCCCCATCAGGCCCCTTCCCCTCCGCTCCTTCACCCCCCTGCGCTGCTTCCCCCTCCACCCGAACCCCCACCGCTGCCGCCTCCTCGCCCACCTCCCCCTGCGCTCCCCCCTCCGCGGGCGTCATGCCAACACAGCTGTCGCCTGCCCGCCCCTCGTTTGCCACCGTACTCTCCCCTTCGACCCTCTCCCCACCCTCGGCCCCCCCTGGGCCCCCCTCATCCGCTCCAGCCGCTTCAACAGCGTCCCCCACCCCTTTTTCTTCATCCAACTCTGTCTCTCCTTCCCTTATCGCCCGCGCGCCTGCTTCTCCTGCAGCATCGTCCCCTCCTGCACCACCTGCAGTCTCCAGCACATCATTGCTCGCCTCTCCTCCTTTCTCATTCTTCGCTCCCCCCCCCTCCTTCCCATCCTTCCCTTCCTCCTTCTCTTCACCCTGACCTTCCTCTGCCCCTTTCCCTTCCGCCATATCCGTGCCCCCTGCCCCGCCATCGCGCACAGCACTGCCACCACGCCCGCTGTCGCCGTCCACCCGCGCTCCCGTTTCGCCCTCCTCGCACCCTCCCTGCCCCGCCTCCTCCTCGCTGCTCTCAAGCGAGATCACCACGCCTTTCTTCCCCTCGCTGCTCTCCACCGATATCACCTCCGCGATTCCCTCCGGCTTCTCCTCTCCCCCAACAACCTCCTTCGCCTCGACATTCTCCGCGCCTCTCGACGTCAGGTCCACTGTTTCTTCACCCGTGCCAACTGCCCCGCCTATTTCTGCTCCTTCCGCCTCAGTTGCCCCGCCCGTTCGCCCCAGCAAAGCCTGCGCTTTCGCTTCCCCGCCACTCCCGCCCGCGGGAGTCGCCTCACTATTCCGCTTCCCGCCAGCGCCCTCCCCCTCCTCATCCATGCGCGCTTCCCCCCCCTTGCGATCATCTGCTTCTCGCGACGGATCGCCTGCGGCTTGCTCGCCGGCATCGGCGCCGCTGCCCCCATTCTCCGCTCCCTCCAATTGCGCCGCTACCGCTTCCGCGCTTCCCGTGGACTGCGGAACCTCGTGCGCGCCAGCTGCTGCCGGATTAGCTGCTGCGGAACCTACTGCTGCATCCTCATGTGCCGCCGCGTCCGCCGTCGCCGCGCCCGCTTCTTCCACTATTTCCGCACTTCCGACTTGCGGAGCGGCAGGCCCGCTGTCCGCCAAAGGGGTGGCGGAAGGGGCAGCGGCAACGTCACTGACATCGCGGGAGTCGGCGGAGGGCGCGGGAGGGTCCCCGCTGGAGGGGTCCATTCCACAGCGCGGTGTTTGGTGGCGGCCGGCGTACTAAAGGGAGTTCGGGGTCCGAAACCCGACGTGCTACGGCATGGCGGAGCCCAGAACTTGTGACTTGCGCTGCTTGTTTGAGTGTTGGCTGCGAAAATGACCAGTTGAGGATGATGAGAAGCACAATTCAATTTATTTGCGGTCTCATGTGTTCGGGTCGAGAAAGTTCAGTGTGAATCGATTTAGGTTGAAAGCGATGAACAATGTCGTGGGTTGAGAGTGATGGTTTGGAGGCAATGAAACGGCCTATCCGGAAACGAACCACGTTCTACCGAAGAACTTGAGAGTAGCCCACAGCGGCATTTCTCCTTGACGCCCATGCACCACCTCCACGTGTTTAATCGCAGCACATCCAGTCCACTCACGAGTCGCCATGGACTCTCACGGCCCGATAAGCGACTCGTTTCGACGCTTCCTCCTGAAATACTCCACGCAGCCGCCATAGTCGAGAATTTTCGCCGGGTCCTTTTAGTCGCGACTTGCTCGCGTTGCTCGTTCGTCCCATCGCTTCCTGTCTCTCGTGCTCTCGTACTCTTACAGCTCGCTCTTGGTTCATCCTCTCTTGTCGCACGAGCATCGCCCAGCATGTGGGGCATTGAATGGTCGCTCAACCGAGTGCTCAACCTGGTCGTGCCGCCGCTCGGCCTGCTGCTGCTACTCGCATGGGCGCCCGTGCTCTTCGCGCTCAACTATGCGGTCCACCTCGTCCGTTCCTTCTTTTCCATGAGCGCCGCCCGGGATAAGACCGTGCTCATAACAGGGGCGTCGTCGGGCATCGGCGAGGTGCGACGCTCCTGACGTGGCTAAGCGTCATCTCTGCAAGTTGGTGCAGTCACCGTATGGGGATTAAACTGGTTGGGCCAGAAGAGCTATTGGGCAGAGTAGTCATTATGCTTCCCTTGTTCTTCTGCCTCGCCCCCTACCACCGTGCAGCATATTGCGTATGAGTTCGCCCGCCGTGGCGCTCGCCTGGTTCTGTGTGCTCGGAGGGAGGGGCGGCTGCGCGAGGTGGGCCGGCGGTGCGGCAACATGGGCGCGGCCGACGTGGTAATCGTGGAGGGGGACGTGTCCAAGGAGGACGACTGCCGGCGCATGGTGGACGCTGCTATCACCAACTTCAGAAGCTGTCAGCATCTCTCCTCGCTGCTGCACACGCTTTGTACTCCGCGATGATTTCATTCACACTGTCTGTGTTTCACATCCTGTGGTGCACCGTGCAGTGGATTATCTGGTGTGCAATGCGGGGATCGGCCATGCCTTCCTCTTCAAGGATGCTCAAAGCATAGAGGGCATGAGACAAGTCATGGTGAGTTGCTACCGTAATAATCATTAAAGGGTATTTTTGGTGCGGAATTTTTTTTTTTTTTTTTCATGATTGATGTTGCGTTTCTCTTGCAGGATGTGGATTTTTTTGGCAGTATGTGGATCACTCTGCATGCCCTGCCCTACTTGCGAAGGGCTAGAGGCCAGATCCTTGTGAATGCCTCCATTGGCGCTTTCCTGCCCATGCCTCGCTTCAGTATCTACAATGTGAGTGCATCAGAGGGTTGCAAGGTGGAAGATGTCGCAGTACAGATCTGATCTGTGTATGCTGCCATTCTCGTGCAGGCTTCTAAGGCAGGGTTAACTCAGTTCTTTGATACACTTCGGGCGGAACCAGTTGGGGCAGATGTTGGCATCACAATTGGGTTTCCAGGTGCTACAGCATCTGAGCTAGCAGCTGGAAAGGTGCTGGATGAGCAAGGCCGAATGGTGGTGGATCAAGACCGACGTGATGTAAGCACTTCTTTTGCAGTTTTCCTGTGGTGGGTTTTTTACATATAGCTGAATCTTGGCCCTTCTTTGTTGTGGCAGGCGCTCTTAGGGCCCCAGCCCATGCTCCGTCCTGATACAGTTGCCAAAGCATTGGTTGATGGAGCATGCTGTGGTGCCCGCTACGTCCTTATACCTGCATGGTTTTCAGCTGCTCTGCTGTTTCGCCTGTTCGCACCAGAAGCCTTGGACTTGTCCTTGCAGATGATGATGCTACCTCTCATGAAAGGGGCTACTCCAATCGCCAAAGGCTTTATGGATGTTACTAAGGGAAGGCAGTATTTGTATCACCCTCCTGCAACCAGCCAGGAGGAAGCAGAAGCTACTGTGTACAGGAAAGGAGAGTGATTTTGGTGTTAGTAGCAGAGGAGAAAGAGTAGTATCTACTGTTGTACTATCGCAACCAAGTTGTGAACACTGAAATCCTGCTAGCCTAAATTTGGGATCCTGCTACAATCAAAACTGATGACTTGGTTTCTCACATCCACCTGATCTAATTCCCTCACGAACATGTTGATCATGCCCAATCCGCCATTTTTTTCTGAACACAAACACACAGTAGAGCAAACGTCGCACGTCAGTGCTGCAGCAAATGTTAGGACGTAGGCAGACACAGCTGAAACTGATTACACCTAGGGAACTCCTTCCCACCTACTGACCGAAGCGGGTAGAATGCTCCCAAAGAAACAATTCCTTGTGCTCCAATTCGTTTAACGTCTGGTGTCAGCCTACGCTGGTAATCGTAATGCTGTAACCAGCCCCATCGTATTATTATCCTCAACGTGGCCAAAAGTGAGTTTGGGAAAGAATCCATACCTTATAACTGCACAAGTTATGCCGGCAGCTGCCATTCAGAGGTTAAGCTCCACGGGCAGGTTATCGATGCAGTCAAACCACGGCCCCTTGTTCTGCTCCGCCTTCAATGTCCGCAACGCGCGCCACACCGCACTATTGCACTTGAATCCGCTGCCGAACGCGATCTGCCACACGCGGTCACCCCGTCGCACGCGTCCCTTAGCTTCAGCATACGACAGCTCGTACCAAATGGAGGAGGATGAGGTGTTGCCGAAGCGATAGAGGGTCATCCGCGAGGGCTCTAGCTGGTGCTTCTTCAGCTGCAGGTTTTTCTCCAGCTCATCCAATACAGCTCTGCCGCCAGCGTGGATGCAGAAGTGTTCGAAGGCGAGCTTGAAGTCTGGGATGTACGGCTTCATCTTCACACGGAACAGCTTGCGAGCCATGAGCACGGCGAAGAAGAGCAGCTGCTCCGAAAGTGGCAGAACGAGCGGGCCGAGAGTTGTAATGTTAGTCTTGAGGGCATTCCCTGCAATGGCCATGAGATCGCTGGAAAGAGAGACCCCGATCTTTCCTTCGTCGTCCTCCTGCTGGTACACGCACCGGTAGCTCTTGTTATCCGCACCCATGTGCGTGCGGACCGTGTGAGTCAACTCATACTTCGAGCGGCGGCGATCTTTACTCTTGTTGGACAGAAGCATGGCGGCGCCGCCCATACGGAAGATGCAGTTGGGGATGAGCATCGAGCGATCCTTGCCGAAATACCACTCAGGCGTAAGAGTCTCCATGCTCATGACAACAGCATACGTGGAACCATGCACTTGGAGAAGATCCTTCGCGAGATCAACCGAGATCACGCCAGCACTGCAGCCCATGCCACCGAGATTGAAGGACCGGATATCACCACGCATAGCGTACTTGTTGATGATGGCCGCGGACATAGACGGCGTTGGGCAAAACACGCTACAGTTCACCACGAGAACTCCAACATCACGGGGCTTCACGCCAGTCTTCTTAAAGAGCTCATCCAGGCACGCGAACATGACCATCTCTGCTTCCAAACGAGACCCGGCGAGAGATGGATATGGAGGATTCTCGTGAAGTTTGGGAGGCAAACACGTGTCCTGGCCGAGCCCTGACCGTGTGACGATCTTGCGCTGGAACTCGAGACTCGCCTGGTCAAATACGCCTGATTCGCTCGAGTATTTCATGAAGGTCTCCAGCGAGACCTTGAGATGGTCAGGAGGGCGGTAACAAGCGAAATCGACGAGATACAGGGGGCGGGGACGGGAGAGAATGAACACCGTAGCGCCAAAAACAACTGCAGCACAGCACCCGACCACGCTGACCAGATTCAACTGCAAGTGCTGCCAGAGTTGGAGAAGATCGTCGGGCCGCATCCGAAGGACCTCAACACCGACGGAGATGAAGAGGGGAATGAGCAACAGGGGCACGCCATGAGTGATAAGGTAATGGTAACCCAGCTTCACATGGCTTAAATTAACACTCTGGAGAAAATCCGGCAGGACACGGCGATTTACTGGTATGGACACTGCATCAGGAGCGGGCTTGGCTGGCAACAGAGGCTGCTTCTGGTCGGGATTACGATTGGGGCCTTCCATCTTGAGAAACTAACCCAAAAACGAGTCAGCTCTGCGTTTGTGAAGGGAACTCTAGCATACTGAATTGGCTTACAGAAGGCATGGATGAAACAGGACAGGAGCATCAGGGTGCTACTGGCTGAATCCAACTTGAAACGGACGGATGCTGTCACGGGGCAAGGTGGATCGAGAAAGAAGGGCTGTAAGGGCGGGAAACCAGAGCGCAAGATAGAATGCCACGTGTAATGTAGATCTCGAGGTGGCTGGTCTGTGAGTCAATGGGGGTTTCGCGGTCACAAACGAGGCTCGGCTGAGCGGGAATATCGCCTCCAAGCCGGAACTTGCGGTGGCTAACCACCTGCGCTTCGTGTGGCGATCCAGATTGACTGCTTTGGTGACGAGCAAACACGTTTGGTGACGAGTGAACACGAAGCCGTTCGAGTCTAACCTTCCGGCTCGGAACAGCCAGTGTGTCAGACGTGCTAGTTTGGTCGAATCGTGGCACAAGCAAGAGGGTGAAATTTCCCTAGCATAATCGGCGAGGTACACTGGTTACCGTGCTGTTACTTTTGCAACTCAAAACAGATCAAAGGTGCTCAACAAAACTAGTAGCTAAGCCCACAAAGAGAGCCAGCCTCCAAATGTGTGTGTGCAAATTATTGGGTGAAAAAAGCAAAGGTTCCAAGAGGTTCCAATCTGTAAGGGAAAGCATTCCTTTTATTACAGGATTGTACTGCATTGCATACAACCCGAACTTTCAGTATTTTCTCTAGCGACTATAATTTCCACTTACTCAACGTGTAACAAACCTTGATCATATTAGGTTCCCGTCTAGATTTTTTTATATAAATAGTCATTCATAGTATTTTCGGTCCATTCCGTCACATCTTCGTTTATTTTTTATTATGAATTAGCTCTGTTAATTCATAATACTTGGCATCAGAGCCATTTCTATATGTTATCTCACTTTCCTGCGCAATCTAGTGACAAAGGTGTTATTGATACAGTGAGCTGCAAAACATTGGGCTGTGGTTGACTAACTTCAACTTGTCCAACTTTAATAGCGTTTGCAGTCACATAGTTATCTGATAATTGCGTGTAACATCTTGGCAACTAAGCAAAAGTTGTCAACCATGTCAAACTTATATGTTGCATGTTGTGTAGGCTGTAGTGAGGTAGCCCATATGGGGTACAACCCAATTTGGGGTTAGTACTTGTACCCATCCTGCTGCTAGTTCATCCATTCATGCTCGTTAGTTTCTGACATGGTTTCAGAGCTGTAGGTCCGTACGACCGTTTTTTTTTCGGGCCCACCATTACCTAGTGACCGACTGCAGTTACCGCGCTACCCCACGCCCTGCCTGCGCTGCGCTGTCTGTCAAGATAGCAAGCAGGAATGATTGCATTGAATGAATTGTGGGTACAAGTACTTACCATAATATTGGGTTGTACCCCACATGGGCTACCCCACTATAGCCTACACACAACTAGCACAGATATGGTTTGACACTGTCAGCGCGCGCACTGCCCGTGCACGCCCTGCCCCGCATTGCACTGCCCTGCGCACGCCCTGCCCTTCCCCGCGTCGCGCTGTCCCGCGCACGCCCTGCCCTGCCCCGCGTCGCGCTGCCCCGCGCACGCCCTGCTGTGCCCCGCGTCGCGCTGCCCTGCGCACGCCCTGCCCTGCCCTGCGTTGCGCTGCCCTGCGCACGCCCTGCCCTGCGCACGCCCTGCCCTGCGCACGCCCTGCCCTGCCCCCCGTCGCGCCACCCCTACAGCCCGCGCGCCGCCCCTGCAGCCCGCACGCCGCCCCTGTAGCCCGCGCATCGCCCTCTGCAGCCCGCGCGCCGCCCCTGCAGCCCGCGCGCAGCCCCTGCAGCCCAGCGCGCCCCACTGCCCGTGTCCGGCGATTCTGTCTTGCTTACTCTTAAGTCTTCACCTCCCCTCGTTCTCTACGAACTTGGTAGGTACCACTGCCCTCCAGGATGCGATGGTCACTACCATCATTACTGAGGATCAGCGTGTGACGGTCTGCACGTGTACACGGACGGGCCGCTACCTGGTCGCGTTCACCCGTCGGCCTGGGTCGAGTCTGTACACACTGACTACTGAGCCCGCTCAGATAGCTGCTTCGAGTCAGGTGTCCGCGCCAGTTTAGGTAGCCGCCCCCTGTTCGTGTCGCCTCCTGACGCACCAGACTATCCTTTGGCACCACCGCCTTGGTCACCCCTCCCTGCCACGCCTCCGTGGCATGCACTCCTGCCTCCTTGTTTATGGTCCTCCTAGGTCTCTGCCTCCCCTCTCGCCCTTGCCTGCCCCGCCCTGCCTTCCTTGCGTCGAGGGGCGGCAGCGCGCCGCTCCTCACTCCTCCTCGTTTCCCCCGACGACTGCCCCCTTGCAGCTCTCCACGTGGACATGTGGGGCCCAGCCCGCGTCCGTGGACAGGACCAAGAGCGGTACTTTCTACTGGTTGTTGAAGACTACACGCGTTATACCACGGTCTTCCCCTTTCGCAACAAATGTCAGGTCTCTGATGTTTTGATCCCTTATATCCGCGCAGTCCGTCTCCAGCTCCGCGAGCGGTTCCGTGAAGACCTTCATGTCCTGCGTCTGCACTCTGACAGAGGTGGTGAATTCTCTTCCGACCTCTTGCGGGACTTTTGTCATGGGGAGGGCATCCGCCAGTTCACGCTTTCGGCCTCCCCGCAGCATAATGGGATTGCTGAGCGCCGCATTGGCTTAGTCATGGAGGTGGCTCGTACCTCCATGATCCATGCGGCTGCTCCTCATTTTTTGTGGCCGTTTGCGGTCCGGTACGCTGCGCATCAGCTCAACCTCTGGCTCCGTGTCTCCTTGCTGGAGACCTCGCCTACACTGCGTTGCACGGGGAAGGTTGGCGATGCGTCGGTGTTCCGGGTCTAGGGCGCTCGTGCCTTTGTCCGCAATACCTCC